GTGTTGTTTCAACTGTTGAGAGCGCGAAGGAAGAAGTGGCTGCAGGAGGCGCTTGCTTTCAGTACCGGAGATGCAGATGACTCTTTTAACGAGCCTTGGACGGCCTCCTGCTTGAAACCAGGGCAGGAGGTTGGACTCGTGACGCTTTCATCACCATCAGCGTGCGTTAAAATGTTTGAGAAACTTCTTCGACTGATCACCACTCGAGGTTTACTCGATACCAAGAGTTTGTACCAGTCGACGGCACAGTTCCAGGCGATCGAGAAGACTGATACCAGATAAGGTAGTCTCTCCTATCTTCATTATGTATCCATATAACTTAGCACTTGTCAGCTTCATGAGCAGATTGACGACGTTAACCCCGCCGGTATGAGTGAAGAACACTATTGGTTAAATCACCACTAGATACTTACTGTTAACTAATAGTGTTCTCCCCAATCGACCAGAATATAGCATGTCAACTACCGACCAAACGGATAGGATTCCAGAATAGGAACGCAAGCGCTATTTCGGAAGACTGTTGATGAAGTATTTGCATCTTTTGTGTCAACGATAAAGCACAGACTACTCGCTAACGAAACGGACAAGAGGTGAAGCAGAGTCGCATTCTATTGCTGCTTTCGGCTTGTAGAGACAACTTGCTGGGTTAACTGAGGTGGGTCGGCATGGCGGACTCCCACGACGAAGTGCGCGCTGTTGAATCCTCAACGGAGGAGAAGATGGATACGGTAGCTTCTCTCGTGTGCGAAAGTGACGACATAGCTGTTTTCAACAAGAATCAACGTCAACAACCCGATTCAATCGTGGCTGAGAGAGATTCCGTTGTGATGCCAAGGAAATCCGGAGTCGCTACGTCGGAATCGTCGGCTCCTAGACCATCCGTCGTCAACATCGTCGTTGCTGAAGTGGCCACGTTTTTCGACGTGTTCGGTTGGCTTGGAGTGCCCATGATCATCATGTTCATTCTCTCAGCTGCTTGGACTTTCATGCTTGCTGTCATTCAAGTGTATGCAGATGAGATGGCAAACATCATCATGAACACTACCGAGTTCGACAATGGCAAGTTCTGGCTACTGCCCCAGCCAGAACCCGAGCTCATCATTTCATCCGTCGTCTTGCTTGCACTGTTTGGAGTTGGCTATGCAGGACTAGCTGTGATAATGATTTTCTTCTATCGTGCTGGGGGAACTGGTGAGACCAATGAACTGCATGAGAATGCTACTTCAGCTTCTAAGACACTCAACAGCACCAATACTGCGGAAGATGGAGGTGGTCATTTGCAGCGGGTTATTGCTTGGATTCGACACAAGTGTGACTTACCGGATGAAATTCGACAGCATTATTACGTAAGTACAGCTCTTACCTCAAGTGGATATAGTGATTTCTAACACTTGTATTTTCTAGACTGCTGCTCTTGATCTTCCCAAGCTCATTTTCCAGACGATTACTCTTTATACGTACCTTGAAAAAGGGTTCCCAACTCCGATTATCTATACCTACTCGGTATTACTGCTGTGCAATTGGCTTGTGGCTTGTTACCGGAGTCAACGCTACGTAGCAGATCCAGCGTTAGTCATTTCTCGGCTCTACTACACGTAAGTTACCTGAATTTACTCTACACTTTGGACAGGACTAACTTTTATTTTTGTGTAGCTTTGATTTGTTCTTCGCCGTGTTTGCACCGCTGGTGGTTCTCATATTCTTCATCGAATCATTCAAGTTTGACCGGGAGGCATTTCAGACTAAAACGGAGACGATCGGTACTGGTACATTCGACACAGTAGCTCGGCTTTTCGGAGATCCGTCGCAGATCTCAAGTTTCTGCAGTGCGTTCCATTATTTACAGTTCTCGTCGGGCTCCACGTTGTTCTACAAGTCCGCGTTGAACGTGCTGTCTCTGTACAAATGGAAGAAAATCATTATGACCCTGATCCACAATCGTCACGAACGTCAACTGGAACGAAAGCGCAGAGTTTTGGTTGGTCCAGTGTCCAGCAATGTATCACGTACTGCGAGCATTAAAGTGGCCATTTCGAAGCAGTTTACAGCATCAAAACTAAAATTCAAGATGGAGAAGCACTTCTGTTCCAAGCTCTTTCTATCGCTAGTATTCTTATGTGCGGGTATCGGCAACTTTGTCTATTCAATCGGAGCAATCGCCTCCACTTCGGACTTGTGCAGTGCGTACGATAAATGCGCCGTAGCGAGCTACCAGTGGAATTTTGGGCAGAAATACTGCACGTGTCTTGTGTTTGCGGACCGTCAGACAGCACCGAAAACGTACGCAGAATGGATTGATCCCGAAGACACCACTGCTAATCTGGCTGAACTTGCACATGCTGGAGAATTGCGCATCATACAAATTATCAATCGTGCTGTCCCTGAATTACCGGAAGAGCTGAAAAAGTGTAAGTATCTCGAGCAACTCATCCTCGCGTACACCAAAACTGAAATGTTACCGGAGTGGTTATCGGAATTCTCCCATCTCGAATATATGTAAGTACTTGAGCGTTAAAAAATACTAGAGATGATATCACTAAACGTTTATTTATTTAGGCATATTGAGGGTGACTTCACGAGTAGAAGACTGACAGCTATACCCGATGGAACCTTCGACAACATGCCACATCTCTCATTCCTGCACTTGGGAAGTATACCTAATGTGGAGAAGTTACCGTCACTTTCTTCGCTCAAGGGGTTACGCTACTTGACGTTGGCTGTCTTAGATTCGCTGAAGGAGATACCCAGTTTTGACGGGCTTTCGAAACTAAGCGACTTGACTATCATCAATGCAGTACGCGCCACAACGTTACCTGCAATGACACCTCTGACAAGCCTGACAAAAATGGTGCTACGCCCGAAAAGTGCCGTATGCTGCAACGGATTCATATCGGGAGCTTGTAACATGACAATGGCCCAGTGTTTACCCATTGCAAGTGAGAAGTATCCCCCGACCTGTACTGATGCGCGCATTTCAGAGGACGATAAAGCCCTTCTCGATACATTTGGAGCCAAGATTTGCCCCAACACAGCCGCTGTTGATCGGGAGGCGACTGCGCCAACTAAACATACGACGGACGAGCTCTGTGGTGGCGTCACCTACAAGGAATGCGCTCTCAATGGAGTTCAAGGAATTTGCTACAACACCCGGATGATGGTTATCAACTGCGAAACGACGTCAGGATTTATTGCTATGCGGAAGCTGCAGATTCAGCGTGGTGTCGGGGAACCCTGTGATCCCGACGTGGAGGCATGGCTAGGATGCGCGTGATACATGTACATGTAGGCATTAATAGTCTAAGACATTCTCTTGATTTTTATTTGATGAAATATGGCTTTCTATTTGGTCAATTTAATTTTTCAAAACTGGTATCTTGGGATTTCCCTTGTTTTCGTAGTGCAATTTATTTCTTTTAGCTTTTCTTGCTTTTATTCGTAAAAAAAATACAATCACTTGGATTGGTTTAAATTGCTCAATTTTCTGTTACTATAAGTTTAAAAATAATATTTTTATTGGTATTGTGCTACTAGCGTACAGATAGTATTTCTAAAAAGAACTACTTTTTTTCTTACACGCAGCCATATTCTTTAAAAAAAATCTTTAAATATTCACTTGATACTTAAGTTTAGAACAAAACTATGCCAAAAAAAACGAGCGTCCACAAACGTAAGGCCGTGGTAAGGCACTTTTCGTCTTCATAGGATATTATGGTGCACCGTGTCCATGTCCAACCCTCTCCGCCACCTCGAAAACAACAAGCGAGCAGGCCTTCTATCCTTTCGAGGGCTAAACATAAAGCGATTAGTACGTGGACCCGTAGTCTAATCGGTCACCGTAGCGAGTACTCGGTCGAACGTCTTCTAGCTTTTCGGGATTATTACCAGCGCGCCTCATTTGGAAGAGTCATTGCAGTGTGTTTTCTGACACCAATTCCTGCTTTGCTAGTGACACTGGCGATCGATTTGATTCCTTTAACGCCTCCATCACAAGGCTGGCAAGAGAATTACGCTCTGTGGGTTAGATTATTCATCTCAACATTCGCAATATCACTGGGTCTCATCGCTCAAATCAAAGAAGTAATCACAGCTCAGACAATCTCCACTATCGGCACATTCAAAGTCGCTGTCGCTACGTCTTTTTCTTACGTGGGAGTCACGATTATAATTGCATCATTATGGCGATTTCCAATCCCCTTTGGCTACGTACTCCTGGTTGGACCATACGTGACGATTTTCTCCTTCTTCATAGTCATGGAGATTGGACCACGAGTGCTCACTCATTCGACAATCTTGCGTCAGCAGATCAAGTCACAACTGATGATTGTTGCTACTCAAGGAGTCGTAGCAGTAGCATATCCGCTCTTCAGTGCAGTCTTTAATCATCTCACGGGGATCGAGCAAACCGCTTTTATAATAGTCATGCCTATCATCAAGTTTGTCACCAAGCAAATTATCGCGGATGCTGCTAAAAGGCTCAACGAATTTGTTGGTCCCATTGTGGTGTTTTCAGTCGATGTATTCAACGTTTTCTACGTTGCGATTTGCATGCAAGCCGCAACATCAACAATGACGACGCTACTTATTGTCGCTGCAGACAGCTTTCACCTAATCGTTGCTGTTCGAAGTATTTTCCAGCGAAATAATGCAAATCACGGGTCACGTGGTTCAGAACTTTCGTATTATCTGAGTGAGTTACCGCTTAAGGTGCAAATGGTTTTCCAAGGCTTTGCACCTCACGTGCGGCAGATCCGCATACGAGCTCCTTTTCCACTTCCACTTTCGGATGAAAGCCGGGTGCTTCTAGACAATCTCAACAAGCTAAAAAATTCTGACGCGCAAACTGAAATTGAGTCGATTTCGACGAGATATTCTGACCAAAACATGACCACTCAGGGAGATAAATATGAATGCATCCAGCTAGTCCAGCCCATTCGAACAATCGCAGTTGCTAAGCCGCGTCAGATTGAACCCTCCTGCCCGATCACTGAAGGATATCTGGTGAAAAATAAAACGGATCATCTCAAATCTGTCTACGATGATCTACAAGCACTTTTCCATTCCGAGTACGTCCTGATGGGTGAATATATCGAGTTCGTGCTCCCATTACTCTACGCTCTGTACCTCGCCGTGTTGTTCCATCTGCCCATTGCGGCCTATTATCCACATACATCAACGATGACGACTACTAAGCTGCACGAAACGCTAGTGAGCATCTTGGCTTTTTCGGTGGTTGAGTTCGTTGCATTTAGCGGTCTTCTGCTAATGCTGAGGAGAAAATTCGGATTCACGCCGTTGTACCAGTTGGCGTTCGTTTTGGAAACTCAAGCCAATACCCTACAAGGACATTTATTTGTATGGACCCCGTTCATACTGCAGTTAACCCTAGTGCATTATGGTACGTATTATTTTTTTATGATCGTTCTGCCAGAACTGATGCGGTTATTTGCTCCCCCAGGAGTAGACTTTAGCTTCCACTTTGCGTGATTATTTTAATCACAAATCTGATTTTGTGTCCATAATTTCTACAGAGGTGCGATTCTGCCAAAAAAAAAAGAAACTCGATGCCTTTTCTCAACATTAAGTGCTTACGTCTTTAATCGCTTTCAGTCGATTTGATAAGTGACGCGTAGTCGTTCCCTACCCATCAACCTCGAACGGAGCTGTCGCTTTCACAATTGAAAACGCAGCAGACCGAGGCAAGTATGAGTTTCGAAAATAATTTTACGAGAATTGAAAGCGTGCGCTTTCCAGACGAAATATCAGCTTTGTTTCACGTTTTGGATTCAATTGATGAAATGCTAATGTCGCCAGAAGAAGGCCTGATAAAAGCTGCTGGAACAAATCAAGTGCCTTGGATCGAAAATCTCCTTGAGACGTATGATGGCGACTTGACAGATGCAATCGTAAGTGCGTCGGCTAATGGGCATGTGGAGCCGCTACTTCGCCTACTGCAAGAGACTCAAGAGCGAGGAAGCAGCGGTCGAATCGCGCTGCAGAAAGTTGTTAAAACAGCAGCGACTCATGGGCGACTAAATGTCATATCTGTGTTCCTGCCACAGATCGCTGATTCCGATCAGGATACGGAAGCACTTTTGGCGATGTATGAAAGCACGTGGCAAGTGCTCGACGAAGCAACAGCTCGTGGGTACCGGGACGTTATTCGATTTGCTATAGAATTTGCAACGGAATGGGGCTATATTGACTCGTATGCATCAACAAGTACGTCAGACGCTTTGGCACGTGCAATTGAAGGGTGTCTCGATGATGTGGCCATTTACCTTCTTGGCATTTTCGCGATCCCATGTAAAATGAAAGACGCTCTTGAAAAAGCGATAGAACGTGGACAATTCGATATTATCGAGTGGACGTACGTGATTTACGTGCAACGTGCTGGAGTCGGGCAGATGTTAACAGATTTGGCGAGCGATGGGAACATCGGTGCTGTTAAGTATCTTTGCACCCATTTTGGTATCCCTCCGTGTGCCATTAACGAAGCTTTCAGAAGTGCGACGGGTATTTCGACTATTCAATTTCTTTACAATACTGGGTGTATTTCGCCTGGTTCGATTACTATGGTGTTTCGGAATGCATCTGGACGTGGGGTGTTAGACGAATATTATCAAGAAAAACTTGAGATTGTAGAATTACTATGCAAGGAGAGTTGTATTCCACCCCGAGTCGTTAGATTTGCTTTTGTCCGTGCCGCTGCCCGCGGTGACGAAGATTTGCTGAACGTCTTGTGGAATGATTACCGGCTGAATGACCAAACTTTCGTGAAAGCATTCAATATTGTTGTAACCGACAGCAATTTGTATTTAACGAGAGTACTATTCCACGGTGGTCGTATCTCAGCTCAGGCGACCAACAATGCTCTACTGGTTTCTTCAAGTAGAGGATATCAGAAAATCGTGCTGTTCTTGATTGACGCGCCTGGGATAGTTGATTGGGCGAAGGAAAAGGTATTCCTTGATGCAGTTCGTAGTAACCGGTCGTACCTAGTCCAGTGCTTGTGTGACAAGAGAAGCTGGCCAGCTCGTGTTGTGAAACGTGCTGTGTGTATTGCGGACAATCGTGAACTAAATGAAATTCGGGAGACGCTTACGCGCTTAGGAAAGTAGTGAGCAATGAGGGGTTGCTATATTTCATAAAATGGTTCATTTTTGGATTCAGCAAGGATGGATTTTTCATTATATCGCTTCCAGCTCTTCAACTCGCCAAACGGAGGGCTTCGCAGACTGGCCTCGATTGACCTTTCAGTTATTATTATTAGGTTACAGAATTTGGTGATTGCTCAAGAACCTAACGCAACATTTTGCTTATAACGTACGTAATTCAAAACTTGTGGAATACTGAAGGTATGAGTTGCACATTTATCGCTGACTTTATTTCTCAACGATAAATCATACCCCGTGCCGACACGACCTCACTGAATAAGGAAAGGCACCACAAATTGAAAATATGGAGAGCGACTACTGTTTGATTGCAGCTGGAGGAATATCGTATGCGCTAACTTTAACGTTTTCACATGGGCTCTTAACTCGGAAGGCTATTTGAAGCTCTTGGAAAGCAGTGACTACAGAGTAACCTGTTCTGATTCATTTCACTTCCGTTTTGACCGAATGATAGTGGTAGGTAGCCCCCCCTCCCCTCCCTTCGTTAAAATATGAGATCCACCAAAGAACAAATCAAAGACAAAAAAGTCGACTGTGTAAAATACAATCGCGTTTCAGCAGCCGCTTTTTGATGAGCAAACCATTGTAATTGGAAATAAATTACCGATGAAACTAATCAAACCGGGTTTTGGAAGGCAGTGTTTTAACTCATGCCGGAAAAGGTGGATGGAGCTTAATGAAGATAGGAGAGCTTGTCGAGGCTACCCTTCCTGGTGTCAGTCTTCTCGATCGTCAACATGCTGGCGGTGCGTTGCGGTGAGAGGTCGGCAGACATAACCGGGTGTGTGTCCTGGAACTGCGCCGTCGACTGGTGCAAACTCTTGGTATCAAGTAAACCTCGAGTGGCGATCAGTCGAAGAAGTTTCTCAAACATTTTAACGCACGCTGATGGTGATGAAAGCGTCACGAGTCCAACCTCCTGCCCTGGTTTCAAGCAGGAGGCTGTCCAAGGCTCGTTAAAAGAGTCATCTGCATCTCCGGTACTGAAAGCAAGCGCCTCCTGCAGCCACTTCTTCCTTCGCGCTCTCAACAGTTGAAACAACACAATCCCCCAATCTTCTTCTACTCGTTGTGTACCGTCCAGAGTCGTGGTTGGTCGATTCGATCGCGTTATCTTAGATACCTCTCGATATCCCTCCACCGCTATACTAAGCGCTGTTTGGAATAGCGGGCGTGATAGAATCACCTGCAGCAGATCTTCCGAGCTTAGCGACAACAAGTCACAAGCCGACATGGTTTTGACAGTCGATACGCCTACAGAGTACCCCAGTAACCCATGCTCTCCGAAGTAATCCCCCTTCTTGTAGTGTCGATCTCTTCGCTCTTCCGACTGATCCCCACTCGTAGTAGATAGTAGATAACCTTTGACAACGAAATACATTTCCTTCGAGACGCTTCCTTCTACGATCACACACTCATCTCGAGGATATCCCTCGTATTTAAGCTGCTGGGCTATTGCACGTGTGATCGCCTCTACGTCACGATCATGGGGGTGAGCGGTGGCGAATGGACGGAACACGTTGTTAATGAACACTCGCAGTGGTAGATTGGCGATGTGCATGATCATCTCCGTTCGGATCACTTGCGGGATCTCGTCAAAGATTGCCTGGTAACTCACACCTCGATGGGAACTCCACAAAGAAGACAAGAAGGCATGCGATCGAGCTCGTAATTTTCCAGTAATATGCCAGCGTTCCAAGTACAAATCGACCGCGATGTGGTTCTTTCGAAACTCCACCTCGTTACTGGTGTACGAGACGTGCAGATTCGCCATCTCCCCGATCATAAACGCCATCGTCATTAACCCGACAAAGTCCACGAAGATCGTGAACGTGTAGTCGGCGTAATTTGTAGGTTCAAACACTTTTCCTTTCTTGATAAACGCGGTGGAGGAGAAAAATATTCCACGCAAGAAACGGAGCATCAGAAATTCCATCGGTGGGTCTGTCCATGAGGTATCCGTAGCGCTACGTGGTGGAGTCCATTCGTCCCAATCGTCTGAAGTTTTCGCTGTGCTCGTGACCGATGCAATGGAGAAATAGGCGCATGCACACCAGTGCATTAACACAAACAGCAAGATCCACAGCGTGCAGAGGCGGTTCTTCTCGTACGCCACACTTCGACGGTTGATCTCCCGCATATAGTGCGGGAAGTTGAACAACTTGAGACATCGATTCAAACACAGCAGTGGGGATTGGTAAAAATCCGCTAGGAAATGGTCGATCGGGATCGCTGCGATCACATCGATCCATAGTCGCTCTCTCTGGTAGGCGTCTCGCTGCTTGTTCTCGTACAGTTCCATCGATTCCAGCCCGTCTTTGAGGTTCCAATTGACCCAAATATCCCACCCAAACAAGACCTCACACGTTAGCTCCAGCGCCCGAGCGACGATGGGCAATGGACTCAACCGTTCCAACACATCGTACGAGTTGCGGTACGGAATTATCAACGCCATGTAGATTGTACCGACTGCAATGATCATTAACCATTGGATGTGGAATGTACTCTGGGCATCAGTACATTGCAGCAGCATATCGACCCAAATCACGTCTTTCTTCTGTTGGGCCATGACTGCGGTCTCGGTGGATACAGAACGCTGTGCTTTGTACGAAGAGAAGAAGGAACCGGCCCTTTTCAGGGCCCCCAGTGGTCGAGTAGCTGGAATCCTCGCTCCATGTTGGGGTAATTTTTCAGAGAAGCTGCCAGCTGAACTTCCAGCGGATACGCTCTTGCTTAGACTAGCAGAGTCACCCAGAATGTCCACTTGACTCATGACTTTCTTCGTGGTGTTCCCAGCGATATCCATCTGCTCTTCCATGTACAAGTTACGTAGAAGTTGCTGTTCCTGTTGAATGTTAACGATCTTAAGTACTTTTCGTTTCCAATCTGGATACCGTTCGAACACAAGCTCAAGTGAGCGACGTGACAGTCGATAGAGCACACAAGATGTCTTACACCGAGCGTGAGCACTACGTGGTTTACTCGTAAATAGCGCCACTTCTCCAAAGTAACTACCCGATGTGAGTTCGTTAACCTTTTTCAACTGGCCTTTAGACTGTAGTTTTGACGGATCGAGAGTGGGGAAGACTGTGTGGAACGATGATCGAGAAGGAGAACCCAGAGCGTTAATCCTCTCGTCGTGTGACTGACGGCGGTGAACTGTCTCGAGCGGTACTAAGACGTCGATAATCCCCGTGAACACGAAGAACATGTCGCTTCCTTCTTCTCCTAAGCGGAATACGAACTGGTCTTTAACTGTGAGAGCTTGGACAAACTGCGAGACGAGCATCCGCGTCACAGACCCTTCCATTCCAGCTAGAAACCCGACCTTGGAGATCATTGGTTGGAGATGAACGAGACGGATTTCGGTTAACAGAGACGGTGGCAGACAGCTCTCCAAGAGATATTCTTGAGTGATGGTATGATACCGATGAAAGAAAAAATAAGTTTTAAGTTGTTCCTGGATCGTAACTGGGAGGTGGAAATGTGCCAGTAGTAGTCGCAGGGAGCTGAGCTTGGTGTTGAAGTCCCGCGAGTTGGCATCGATGAGCTCCACGACGTCTGAAATGTTCCCAACTACGTAAGCAAAGAGAAACGCGCCCGAGAGGAGAACAAGGATAGTAAAACAACACTGCGCCTCAGTCTTTGGAGGTTCTCCAGCATACGAGTTCGACATGAGTCCAAACGACCAGAACAACACAGCCGAGTACTGGACATCCACGTCTGCCGTCTTGAGGGATGGAGACGGCAGCCATGCGTCGACATCCGAAGAACTCTTGAAATTGAACCAGATGCAGCCAAATAGATGCGTCAGAATGAACGACAGCAAGACGAGCTTAGCCAGTCTCAGTTGCAGTGTACGACTCAAGTGTTTTTCTTCCAATTTGGCGAAGGTTTGTCTCGCTCGAAGTAGGCGGAAGAGTTTGTTGATACTGAGGATTTCGTGGCGATTCTTTGAACCGACCATCCAGTTCACCATATACAGTGGAACCTGCGCGAGAATATCGCACCAACACTCTCGAGAACGGAAGAATTCTTTGCGTATTGTAGCGACGTCCATAATTTTGTTGCCGTACTCATAGTACCCGAGTCGGGAATGGAAGAAAAAGTCGATTGCGAAGAAGATTTCAAAGAGAACAGCTATAACCTCGGACTTTACAATTTTACTAGCGTCCACGCCAGCCGTGATCTCTCCAACCACTTTATTATACAACGCAATAGTCAAAGCAAACATCCAGAGTTCCCACATCTCGAAACTCGTCTCGTCTGGACCGAAAATAATGTCTCCGAGGCCTAGACACTCTAACACCTTCATCTCTAGTGTGAGTTTCTTGGGACCGGTAGGCATCGGCTTGACTCCTCCACTGAAAGACCGTTCACGGTTTTGAAAATCTTGCTGCACTCGAGCCAATTTGGCCGCTTCCAGTCTTTTTTCTAAGGCTCGAAGGGCCATAGAAAACGTCGGGAAAACCTTGTGCATGCCGTTGAGATGGTCACGTGATAAGAAAAGTAAGATGCAGCCACTAGCTGCTGTCACGCGCTCTGCATAGCTTACGGACGTCTCGCTTAGATTCAGAGCAGCAGTCCCAATAAACCCTCCTTTCACTATAGTACGAGGGGCACCACCATCGACGATAATAATCAGCTCGCCTTCGATAAGGAAAAAGAGCCCACTGGCATAGTCTCCCTGTCTGTAAATGATCTCCCCCTGGCCGTAAAGAATGAACCGAACGTTGTCGATGAACACCTGCTCCAATGCATCCAACGAAGGTCGAACGTCTGCCAGAAGGGACAACGTGCGTAGTGCTGGCTGGCACATACTGCGTAATATTGGACGCTTGATCGTCTCGGGTAGGTCGTTTAATAGATCGCTAGCAACGGCACCACGATGACAAGACCACCAGAAATCCAGAAAAGACTTGACTCGCTGGTGAACACCTGGAGGGACCGTCCGAGACTTGATGAATCGCTGGACTCGAGTGCGTGTTACTAAGAACTCCTTATGCTCGAACGCCGACGCTGTGATTCGTTTCTGCATCGTGTCAACCATCACAGCCATTGAGAGAAAGCCACATAACATCAATATCAGTGCTACAGAGTATTGCAGAGTAGATGACGGCTCGACGGTCTTGCCCAATGTGGTCAGCATAGTAGCGCCAAAGTAAAGAGCGCGTGTGTATTGTATCCCCGCGACAGCGTGAGCTTCAGCTGGAGTATACGAAGTGTTGCTATGGCCACTTGAATAATAATACATCCCATCCGAGTGATCCACACACAGTCTCACCTCCAATTCACTGGTTGGCAGCCACGAAGTATCACTACTATCTTCACTACCGAAGCCTTCCACGTAGGTGAGACTGAAGTACACACATGCCACAAGATGGAGTAACAGCAAATACGCCATTCCAGCGACTAGAAACCAGCCTTTACGACTAAGACGAAAGGAGTTCTCCCACTCCTTCAAATGCCCTTTAATGTGCCAAACACGTAACAATACTGGTAGTCGCAGTAAAGCCGGATGGGTCAACAAAACAGTTGAGTCACTGAGTGGTACGAGCAGCCGGTATGGTATACAGCACAGCAAGTCCGGAACGAAAGAGCCTCGAAGATAATGTTTCGCTATAAGTGGCGGATCTGTAACTTTCTTTCGGTTAGTCGTGTACGTCAGGTGGAAGTTTAAGTAAATATCGATACCCAAGAGAATATCCATGAGAACATATCCAGCTTGTGCACCACGGTTGATGATGGGACAATCCAATATCGGGAAGGACAAGAGCAGCGAAATGATGTAGCAGTTCGCTGCCAAATGTCCTTGCAGGATAATGAGCCAGTATTTCCGCCACCGAGACGTGTGGTCAATTACACGACGCATGAGTAGACGACAAAAGACTCGAGATAAGGCGTCTTCAGCCAGTTGTTGGGACCCACGACGTCGAGATAAATTGTCGTAGAATCCTTGCATCGAGTCTGGGTGTGCAGCTGTTGAGCTCTTCAAACTCGGAGCGCGTGGGGGCCACCAGTTCATCCCATTCGACACGCGGTGAGCGTATGCTGACTGGCTGCGCACCAGCTTGGAAGAAGGTTTCTTGGCGATAACTTTGGGCGGCAATACAATCGGAGCAGGAGTGAAGTTAATGGCACGCTTCTCGTTCATAGAGATGTTACCTCCGTCATACTCGGAGTGTCGTGTCGAAGATAAAGCTCTTGTGGACTTGCTACGAACCAGAGACGATCGTGCCTTATTCGCTCGATCTCGTAAAGACGCACGCTTCTTTTTCAGTGGAGACTTCGAGGACAAGTGATACAACGTCGTCAGCATATATTCCTCACCACCGCCATGCGAGGATTTGCCTGTTTCTCGTTCATTGAGCATCTCGTCGATTGTCTCGGCGATTTGTACAGCGTAGTCCGGATAACCTTCCAGCACTCGCTCCGTGTGGAACCTTGACAGACGATAGAGCGTGCAATACGAAGTGGTCACGACAGCGGCAGACCGTGGGCGCTTCGAGAACACTGACACTTCGCCGAAAAAGCTTCCCTGTCGTAGCTCACGCACCTTCACACCGTTCACCAAGATGTGTAACACTCCCGAATTGACCACGTACATGTAGTCACCCTTGTCTCCAGCCTCAAAAAGCGTGACATGGGCAGGAACACTCGTCATCTCTAATAAACTGGTGAGTGCCACGATGAACTGTTGGTTGCAACCACGGAAGAGAGGAATACGGCCGACCATACCCCTCAATAATTCTACTTGGATATCCTTGGTAATTGACGGACATAGTAGTTTAACTACCTCTCGATCATTGGACTCAGCGTCTGTGTAGTGACGCTTTAGATACTCCACTGCCTCCGTCTGCAGCGTCTCTGGTACGCGATGAAACGTTAGTAAATGTCGGAGTTGGTTGATACGTGCTTGAGCCAGCATAGTCTGGTTACTCTCCGACTTGGACAGCATGAATAGAGTGGAGCAAGCGTAGATAAAGAGGATAAACCCTAGCAACATTACCGCCAATGTGAACGCGAACTCCGAGTTGTATCGAGGTAGTGCACCTTCAAAGGCTCCAGTGAGCAGCCCTACGCTCCAAAACAGAGCTTGGACGTACTGTGTGCCTAGTGGTTCGCTCTCAAGAGGGAGCCAAGTGTCAGATATGTGTGTACTTGGGTCTCTGCAGCCGAATGCGAAGCGTCCACACGCTATGACATGAGCCACGAACGCTGTGACTATCAGAACTTTTAGCCATTTAAGTGCTCGAAAGTATTTTGCATAGACATCGTCTAGATTCGACAAATATCCGGGTACTCGCCAGAGACGTAGGAACTTGTGGAACTCCAGCCAGCCTGGCCAGCCGATCCCTTGTGGGAAAGTTGCTGTATTGGTGGCAGGGAGGATGAGAGATAGCGGAAGGACAGCCAGGACATCGAGGAAGAACCCAACAGACTTGATATACTTGGCTCGAGCTTTGCGTTTGTCTCGATGGATATCTCCAGCTTCGTAGAATCCTGTGTTGAGTTTTACGTAAAAGTCGGCACAGAATAGAAATTCTATTGCGTAAAAGGCACGAAATGCTGCGGTAGACGACGGGAGACCGTTTTTAGCTGCGAAAGTCACGACGAATGGCAGCAAGAAGGCTTCGTACAGCAGACAGCAGAGCAGCAATTGGCGCCAGCTCTTGAGGAGACCAGAATTGGGGTCGAAGGCGTTGCGTAGCTCTCCGATGTAGCCGTAGAAGCTCCCGCTGCCTCCGCCACTGACATTCCGCACCAGTGAGTGACGTCTTGATCGCTCGACCATGTGCGGCCGACTCAGGAAGAGATTGCACACTGGGAATTCCTCAGTGACCGTCCAAAGAGCCACTCGAAACAGCTTTTACACCGTTGACAAAGCCCGTATTTAGGCTGCTGCGGCTGCAGAGCACGCTATAACCTTCGCTCCTTCTCAGATTCAGCTAAAATGGCTTTCCCATGCTGAAGGTAGGCCGATCGGGTCGCGAACGGAGGGCACGCTGGCGACCAGAGAGTAGGCTGAGTCTTCTTTTTCACTTGGTCTCTCTATTGACCTTTTACTTATTATTATAACGTAATAGAATATAATAATACGTAAACCTAAAGCAATATTTGCAAAAAATAATTTAAATCATCCCAATTTATTCAAAATAAATCAAAAAAATGTGGTCAACCTATTTTGTAAATGTTTGCTGTACACTGAATTTTTTTTTTGAAATATAAATAAAAATGTCATGAGGGGAAATTTTGAGAATTTTCAAGGATTTGACACATTTTGGACCGCAGCAGTCTGTAAAGTTTCGTAGTCTATAATTTTTCACCCGAATAATTACATTTCCAGCTGTCGAGCTGGATTCACCGACGATTCATCAGTGAATCGGCGATGGTGTATGCTTTTAAGTTTAAGCTTAAAAGATAAGAAATATTACTGTAACTGAATCAAATACTGGAAACTCTGAGGCAACTTTCAAATAGTGTGAAAAATCATAGCGAGTTGCTACGAAAAAAAAAGAACTTCAATTAAGTATTCAGATGAAAGTTTTGGTTATTGTAAACGCAAATCAAGGATTACACTGGTCTTGCCGTGGGTATGTCTGTCCAGTTTTTCTTGCGGTGCATCAGATACTTCACCGCGATTAGCAGAAGAAGAAGCCTCCAATAGGACGACCAAACAGGCAGCTGGGGCCGTAGATGGGACGACCGAACGAGTTCCACCAGCCAAGAGGGTAGCGCCATCCATAGCGGAAGCCACCGCCGTACGGGAAACGGAAGCGATGACGGAATAACCGACCGCGTCCTCCGATGAATTGCTCCGTGTTAGCACCAGGAATGGGTTCCTTGTCACCGACGAGTGCCACTCCAGCCGGGACCTCCTCCAGCTCGGTTGGGATCGCATCATTGGCATGACTAAAGGTCATAACAGCAATCAGCACGAAGAGCAGCGAAACAATCGAGTGCTTGTTCATGATAGAGCACTCGGAGTCTTGTCGGATTGGAAAGAAGGTACGTAGGTGTTGGCACAAGAGAGAATGAGCTGCAGAGAGTCTTAACTAATGTACTCAGGTACCGTCAACCTCACTGAAATCGCCCTTCCAGGAAATGATCCGGAATATTATAACGTAACTCGATTAGAATCTGAGGCAGAATGCCCAATTATTTTTAATCTTCTTCTGACTCCTGTTTTTTTGTTCGAGCAAGTTCCTATGACCTCAGTTAGTTAATTGGCATATGTCACTCACTTAAAAGTTCCTGTGACGCGTATTATTAATACACACTAGTTTCCTTTTGTCTTTAGAATGCCATCACAATTCCTTTAACTTTAACAATTAACAATAAAACGTTATATTATAAAAATCATTTTAGTTTGGAAAAGTCAAAATATGTCCTGGACAGTAATATACATGTATGCTCTTAAATTGACATGTACGTCACTCATTAAAAAAAATATCATATGACCTCTATTACACAGTCGTTTCCGTCTTTCTTTATGTTTAACAATAAAACGTTAAAAATCATTTAACATTAATTTTTCTTTGGAAAACTCGTAATACATGAACGCACTGTATATACATGTTTATTATAAATGAGTACGGAAGAATTTCAAACGTTTCTTTTTAATTTAAATTATATAAAATGAATGATTTCAAATTCTTCCGTACGTCCATTTAACATGTGTATTTTATGCTTAAAAAATAAAATGAAATGACTTCTTTATGATAAAACGTAGCTTTGGCTTTTGGAGCTGACCCGATTCTTCTTAAACTTAACCCCAGTGAGCAGTTTTGGTAGGAGAAAAAAAGGATAAAATTTAACTGGATCATCTTCACGTCACTAGAGCTTGCTTCAAGAAAGTAAAGCTTCATTTACGAAGCGAAGACATGTAGCAATAAGGTGAAAAAGGATGAAGCCTAGAAGTCTAAAATTAATATAAAGATGGTGCTTGAAAGAGAGACCTCACTTGCAGCTCCAAAACCGCGTTTTCTCCTAGCCGCTAGGACAAATTTTTGAAGGCAGCCATCGGAGTTATGCACCGCGTACCATCAAACGACTAGAGCGGCGTCGTTTTCTAGCCACTAATCTTGTAATGGCACGTTCGTTTGGCTCGATTGAGTCACGTGAATGCTTGCGGGAGGGAGGTGGCGGACGAATCTTCTTTGGTCGCTGTGATGATGACGGTTGGCACGGTTCCGGCACGTGACTCAGCAGATGAAATCGATCAAATCACGATTTTCCGTCTTCCCATCGCGAAGCCTTGCACAGTGGCACGTTGCAAATAGTACAGAAATATCTGGTCTTGAAGCCTTTACGAGAGTGGGGCATGTTTTCCTCGTCATGATTCAACTGGCAGCAAACAATGCAAGTTAGCTGCTTGTTGGAGGACAAAAGATCCTGTATGCACATATTAACTCAGTTTGTGTTACAATTCCAACCAAGATCGCACAAACGCTTACAGTGTGGTGGGTACTGCACTTCGAAAGTCGCAGTTGTCGAAACTCGGGATCCTCGTTAAAACGATTAAGTTTGTTGTAGGCTGTAGATGCTTTTGGAGACATCGCAACACTTGCTGTGGATTCGTCATCATCTTCACCAGTTGCGATCATGTTGTTGAAGTCCAAATCAGCGTTTTCCACGGGAATCAACTCAGCTATACACTCAGCTGCCTCACTAAAAAACGAGTTGAACGACATGTTTTCGCTTTTAAACTGCTGAAACGAGCTGTAAGAGTCGCACCACGTGTCAAACATCAAATACGAGTAGCTCTTTGGTTGTGTTAGTACTATTCTTCAGGGAAAATGAGCAAGAACTTACTTGTAGCAACTGGCTTGATTGATACGCGTTGTACACGATTGACAAAAGCATTCGGATCCAAATAGCTGCAAGCGGCGGCAAGTGGAGATGGCGCGCATGAACGTTCTTCAGGAAACGCGAGTAAACATCAATACCACCTTTCACACGATTCCAAGTCGCAATGACGGTTAAAATGATATGCTTTGCCGGTGGCAAAGGCCCATCATTTTTGTCAACCAAATCATTGAGCTGTCGCCACAAACCCAAGTGCTGTTTGAGAGTTGCAATGTCTCCGCAATGACCTAGCTCTTCAGTTGATAGCTGTGGGAGCGCTTCATTTGACGAATAAATCCAGTTTAGGCAACTATCATTGACGCGCTCAAAGGCAAGCAGATACGCCTCTACGACGTCATCACTCAGAACCCAATGAATCACCCGGATTACTGTTGAAGTGGAGGCATAAACCAAAAACCCATTCTTCACGGAGCTACAAACCAAGTTGTGTAGCAATTGAGATCGATGAGCTTGGTCAGGAACTAGTTTTTTGAAAGTCTTGCTATCTCTCACAGAATTCAGCGTGACAGTCACAAATTTTCCACGCTTTGTTGCAACTGTATTTTCCTTTTCAATGGTTGTCGGAGTCGTTCTTGTTTTATACTCCAGGACTGCGAAAAAGGTTACCGATTGCGGCTAATTAACGTAGGCTATTCCATCGGGTGAACACGCCAGATATCGTTGCTCAGGGCTACAGATGCAACCATTAAGTAAGTGTGGATACGAATGAAGTCAAAGGACAAATTGCGCGCTTACCGACACAACAGTCCATAGGACTTCATCTGCTGAATTGTGAAGCTTGAGTTGCTGTAAAGAATGGAGGTAGATGCGAGCAAATACTATCCTCGTTCTTGGATCCTGTTTTCATTTCTGGTGATGATTTAGGCTTTAAAAACCATGCCTCAATCAATACAGCCTCAAGAGATTTCGTCCTGGGCGATGTTGCTTCATCATCTTGGTTTAGAATCCGATCAATTAGTGTTGCCTTGCTCCCATAGCCTGCAATGTCCTGATCTTTACATTTTTGTCGTAAATCAGCGCATGTAAGCCGTTCCATCTCACCCCTAGTTAGTGCTGTATCACGTTGTTCATTGCCTTGTGACTGAGAAATTTCCAAAAGGCGGAGTAAAAATTGCATTGTAGAGGTTCCAGCCAGTGTCTGACAGATCTCGGAGGAACCGCTATCAGTTCCGTCACCACAAGGGGCCTTAGCAATTGCACGGAGCACTTTTATTGCTACCATCCCCGTAACCCGAAATTGACGCATCAAAAACCAATCTGGGGTCCGCTGAGACTTAATGAGCAAGTGGGCTGATGTCTCGAATACTTTGAAGGTGTTCTCGTCGCTGGTAGTTTCAATTGAAGCTTGTCGCTGCTCCACAATATAAGACCACTTCCCAGGGCCAACCGCTTCCACTGACGTGTTGCAGAGAACTACATTTCCGAGACCTGATCGGTACGCCAAAGCGTATGAAGGTTGATTCGGTTTAGCTGCACCCCGCTGCACAGGTTTAGATACTGCCCATTGTGCATATTTTGCACCTTGCTCACGGACAAGTTTTTGGTGTTTTTTTTGGAGCTGCCCCAAATATGAAAGGAAAACTTGAATTCTTCTTGTGTGTTCCAATAATCGGAGCCCCACACTCCAGAATTTGCTTGTTGACTTCCTTGGATTGATATCCTCTGTCTAGCGCAAACATTATCCCTGGCAAACGAATCTGACTGTCTGTAGTTGCTCCACACAATCCACGTTGAAGAATCTTCACTACATCAACCACAGTCTCTCCCTTGGAGGCAATATGTCCACCGAGAAAGAGACCTGTCGCAAGTGACACTATTCCATGTTGAACAGGACCATATCTTCATAACAACAACGTAAGTTCTGTGAATTATTGTGCCTCCCAGTCCTCTCAACGTACCCATTCTTAGGGTTTCGAGTTCGAGTTAACCCAAGATCATCCACTGCACTCGATCGAAGGCGTAGCAAATCGTCGTCGAGTTTCGCAATTGATACCTCAGAAACAAAGCCAAATCTGGAACAGAGTCGACGTAGTTCATCCATCGCGTGAGACAAATTAGGATCATGCTGAAAAGGAACTTTCCAGTGTGTTGACGATACATCGTCTTCTGCATTTGGTTTGCCAAACGCGCGCAGAATAGCAAAGTATCGCTTGGATGGCATAACGGATTTCACCGGCGGATAGTACTGCTTATTTGAACGCTCGTAAAAATTTGATGGCGACACTGAATAGAATGCCAGCCATAATTCCACTTGCAAAAACTTCAGTAAATCCGAACGTGATACGAACGCAGATTGTGCCAGACTGCTGTTCACGTGCCGCTGCGCGCACAAGAAATGACGGATCCAACCAAGCTTTCATGATGTCTTGCGTGGTCACATCTGATGGAAGGCGGTGTTCAGTGCCAAAAATGCGCACTAACAACTTCTTGGCAACACGATTTGCCTCTGTTCTAGCCTTGCTCAGCAGAAATGCTTCCACATCCTCTACGTGAAGCTGGGGTGAGGGCTCATCAATAAATTTCCACGCTGTAGATGAATCCCCAGCAACTCCAGAGTCGCTAGCAGACTGGTCGGAGTTGCTCTCGCTCTCCGACATCGTGATGTCGTGTTAGAATTGGAGTTCCAGTGCTATAAGTTGCCATAGCAAACGTTAATGACTCGTTCTGCAAGGAGTTGGTTCCGTCCTCGCGCACACGAACCTTGCTTGACCCCAAACAAGATGTGAAGGGTGCTGTGTGTCGACGTCGCTGCAAGGATTGACGCTTCCGCGCGCGTAACGCGAGGAAGTTGAAGTTTCCGTCAGCGGTCTGCTTATATTTTTTTTGTCCTACCAATCCTACCAAATTTTGGTGCTAGGAGAAACTTAAAAAACCTTAACTCGAGGTTTTATCCTTTTTCGTAGGACAAAATTCACTGGGGTTAAATAACATTCTATTACGATTTAGAGAGGCCATTGTTAACCCAAGTCCGCCCTTCCAAGAGCTCTGTAGACCTGTCTGGTATAAATACCTCGGTTGATGAAACCCCCTGGACGCGGACGCGGCTCCTGCCCAGTTAGTTTAATGGCTCATGACCATGAAAGTCTACGCGTCAAGTGTCAGTGGTGGTCCCACACTCAAAGGGCCCTCAGTGGTGACTCAAGGCTTCCGATCCAAGCCCAGTCACCTACGACGCCCTCGCCGATGGCCCTTTGGGCCCATTGAGACCGCGTACGAGAAACTCCCGTGGACCACACGACAGACCATCCGGTCGAGCATCAGTCTCTGCGCTGTACTCTACATTTTCTTTACAGTTCCCTTTCGTATCGCCTTCTACTACGACCCATTCAACTACGGAACGACCAACACTCTCGGCTGGACAGAAGAACTCAGTCTTTTTGTCGCAATGGATGCGGTCGCAGATCTTATGGGAATTTTGGAGTTTTTACGCTTTTATCAACGTCAGAAAAAAGTTTTCGGACCGAGATTCGCCAGTTTCAACGTGAGTAAAACCCACAATTTGCAACAATCCACAAGGCTGCTTATGCGCTCATCGTCATTCAAAATCCAGCATCGTGGGAAGACTAAGTGGACGTTGGCCTCTATTGGACGGCATGGCAACACTATGGACGATACAATTTCTAACCGAAATTTTGTGAGAACTCAAAAACTACAATTGATACTAGAGGTGGTGGCATTACTACCAGTGGAAATAATAACTTACGCCACGGGAGCATACAATTCGCTGCATTTGGTGCGGATTACCAAGTTATGTCGGCTCTATAAACTACGCCACTGCTTAGAGCGTTTTACTAATATTTACTCGGATCGGACATGGGTACAGCATTTATCATCTATTGGTATCGCCAGTCTTGTGAAAAATATTGGTCTGTGTGCCGGTCTGTGTCATTACGTGGCTTGTGGATACATGCTGATCGCCCATGCGCAGTGTGGGGTTTCTCTTGAGGCTTGTGACGACCACGTAGAGACGAGCTGGGCGGTTCGCGATGGACTTTTTGGCGCGTCAGTTGCACGTAAATATGCTCGTACACTTTACTGGGCATCAAGAACTATGGTTTTACTGGGATACGATGACGTGACGCCAGTATCCGATGTCGAGACCATTTACGCTTTGGTTGTGATTCTAATGGGGGCGCTATTCGGATCATCTTTACTAGCAACATTTCTCTTCATCTTCAGGTTTAGAAATGCGCGGTATGCTGCCTTCTCGACACACGTGGACAACGCTCGAGAGTATATGCGCTCTCAGAACATCCCCCGTGTTGTGCGACGACAAGTGATCGCTTACTTCAGCTACGCGTGGAACACCCACCATAGTCTCGACAGCGAAGAAGCTCTGCATTTAATGCCCAAGCATCTGCAATCCAAGGTTATCTCCACTCTAAAAGCGAGTCGGATCAAGCAGGTATGCTTTCTGGCAAAAGAAAACGTCGAGTTTCTCAACCTCCTTGCGGCCGCTCTCGTTCGATGTGTATATTCGCCAGCTGATCAGATCATCGAGCCCAAATTTAACGCTCAAATGTTCTTCGTCATCCGCGGCACAGTGATGCTTTCGTCCTTCGACGGATCAAATTCAAAAGAATGCCAAACGGGAGATTTCTTCGCTGACTCGTGCCTTCTCTTCCCAGAGACATTCGAGGAAAAAGCCGTTGCTAAAACCTTTTGTGAACTTTATGTGCTGGCGAAGAGCAAGTTTGACGACGCTATGAGCGAATTTCACAGGGATAACGAAGGCGACGTAAGAGCTGGGATGGCAGAAACACTTGAAAAATACACGACGCAACTTCGGAAAACCAAGAAGCTGCTAGGAGCACATAACAGAGCTGGAAGCACTCGACGCGCTGGGGATCTGAACAACAGTACGACTGAAAGTTCACATAACAGGAGTCGAAACGTGGACTGGAAGTTGCCGGGCTCTGCGTTTCGTATTCACTGGGATGCCGTGCGCTTACTATCGATCATTTTCATTGCGTTCGAGGTCCCGTACTTCTCTGTATTCATCTCAATAACCAACGAGCAGCATTTGTTTGTGGAGCAACCAGAGTTTGGCTTAAGGTATTCCCTCGCATTCTTAATTGAAGTGCTTTTCGGTGCGGATCTCGTATTACGCTCGCGCTATTTCGCACATTTGGATCCTATCGTGATGCTCCCTATTGAAGATCCCCAGCTGATATTCGCAGCGTACAAAGCCAATGGATTCTATGCCGACTTGATTGCGTGGCTACCAGTGGGGGTTATCTTAGAGTCATTAGCGACGGCGTCAGACCAGAAATACTCTTGGATGTTTCGTTTACTTCGCCTCTTACGACTTCGTAAGGTTCCGGAATTATTATGGAGTATTTGCGACTATTGCAGCGTGAGTTCTAAAGCCCATCTTGTGATTTCTTTACTATTAGGCGTTACCTTTATGCTTCACGTTGTTGGATGTGTATGGTTCGAAATGGCCTGGATCTCGGAAATAGGAAATACTGAGCACGCGGAAAAAAGCATATTAATGGAACTATCACGACCAGAGTGTTTAAAACACTCTACGTTGTTTGATAACTGCTCGTGGGTGACATTCGACTGCTATGCTCATATCGGCGACAGTTTTCCGGCAGAGAATCCGGACTCCATGTATCAGGCCTCCTTCGCGTATATGCGTTCAGTGTACTGGGCCATTGTAACTCTTACGGCCGTCGGCTATGGAGATATAGTGGCATATTCAACTGGAGAGAGTTTTTTCGCTGCATTTTGGATATTTGTCGGTGGAATCATAAATTTTGGAGTAGTAGGAGCCATGTCGAGTACTATTTCGAATGCTATGGCGCCGCATCATCATCATATGGAGAAGCTTAATTCATTGAATAGCGTTTTGGAGCGCATGGATATATCGGAGAAACTGAGCACCGAGATTCGTCGCTTTTACCACCATGCCTTTACTGGACGCAAACAAGCGTACGAGTCTCAATTACTCTCGCATTTACCCGATCAACTCTGTTATGAGATTTCGTCTTTGCTGCATTCCGAGTCCGTGAAAAGCGTGACGCTCTTTGACTCGGCCAGCATTGAGTTTCTAAAAGAAGTGACGGGTAAATTTCGTCACCGCATCTACCAGAACGGCGATTCGATTTGTCTTGAGGGAGATATTTGTCGAGAATTCTTCGTCTTCTTACATGGCAGTAAAGTCAACGTGTTCTTTAGATCTAGGAAAGTGCCAATTCGCGCTCTTCATGAAGGTGACAGTTACGGAGTTATGGCTTTCTTACTGAGGCGTGCCCACCCCGCTACTCTCACGGCAGCCTCGTTAGTTCACGCTTCAGTCATGACTCGAGATCAGTTCGACGTTATTCAACGTAAATTCGACGACGACTTGAAAGATATGAAGGAAGAGGCCCAAACACTTTGGGACGAACAGCAGAAAAACATGCGCCGTATTGTACGCAATCTCGAGAGACTCAAGCTCCAGCCTCACATGATGTCGACATCAACTCTGTTTTATCAGGGCGATACGACGGTGACACCCACAGTTGGTGGAAGAAAAGAAAGCAAAGTGGTTCGTGACGTGAACGCCACGCGTGAAGTCCTCTCAAGCGTCTGGAAAGCAATCGTAATGTGTGGCAACGTGTACAACACTATCTTCGTCATCGTCCGCATTTGTTTCCACTCTCATCTTCACTTTTCCAGTGGAACTAATACTTCTATTTGGGCTGCAGATATTTGCTGCGATATCTTCTTTGCACTTGATATTTACCTTCGACTGTATTACTTCGGCTGTCCTGATGTCGGGTTGGAAAACCTGATCGAGCGGAAAGAGGTCGATAAACAGTATCGTCGGAGTTCGACGTTGAAGTGGGATATTCTGGCGTCGTTGCCACTCTACACTCCATTTGCCAGCGGATCATTGACTGCCAGTCTGTGTCGATTACCTCGCCTTATTAGATGTATCGATATATGGACGTACCTTGACGATGGCATTATTCTCATCCAGCAGCATTTCGCGTCTCACAATGTATCAGCGTATCTGAGTCCAGTGAAGCTCATGATCATCTTGGTGCTCGTGGCTCACTATGTGGGTTGTATTTTCTTTTGGATCTCAGAACACGAATGCGCACACGTTCAAAAGTGCTGGGTAGACAATGATCATCTGCTTCACCAGTATCACCACTCGCTGATTATGCTGTACGCAAAGTCTTTTTACTGGGCTATCACGACATTACTGCTAGTAGGGTCTCGTGAGAGTGTTCCTCGTGATACGGCTGGTACGTTGTGGACAGGCTTCACTTGTTTGTGTTGCACATTCATTATCGGTCACATTGTGGGAGAAATATCAGAACTTATCCTTGAACTGGGGAAAGAAGTTAAACACTATAAGAGTCGAATTGCGAGTTTCGACGGCTTTGCAAAGGAGAACGAATTACCTGTAAGTTTACGAAAACGTGTTGGATTTTTCTTTAAGGAACAATTCGAGCATACAAAAGGAACGGATTTGCATAATACAATCCATGACTTGTCAGCTAATTTACGACTCAAACTCATGCTCGAAGTTTATGGTCATTCCATCTCGTTGCTGCCAATCAGTCGCTTCCTCACGTCGTCACAAGTTAACAATCTCGCACTGCGACTGAAGTCGGAGATTTTCATTCCAGGCGATAATATTCTAGTCGAGGGTACGTTTGGAAGTCGGCTGTGTACTCTTCGAAGAGGGATCGCTGCCGTCTTCTGGACCAGCTCTGTTACAAGCGTGGCTATCCTAATGGAAGGCGCATTGTTTGGTGAAGTTGCGTTCTTTTTATCTGGCCAGCGAAGACTCGCAACGGTGCGTGCAGCAACAGCTTGTGAAGTGCTGTTTGTCACGAAACACGACTGGCAAGAATTGTGGACATCCACGGGCGATATGTCGGATATTCAGGTCCAGAAGCACGCGCAACACGCCATTTTCAATTGGGTTCACACTCGTCTGCTGCGGTATCAACGGGCTAGTCTGCGTGCAGCCAGTAAGGCCAAACGTCTGCTATCTTCTCGACACACGTTGCATACGACAATGGCCGCTGCATCCGGAACTTCTAAAGCGAGAACGAGACTATCTGCGGTGTTATTAAATCACAGAGAGAGCAGCGGCGTAGGCACCTCAACGTTGGGAAATCTCAGTCCTTCACCAAGATATGGATCATCAAAGACTGGGGACTCCAGAAGGATCTCTATCGCCTCTGAGATGCAGATTTTGGAGAGGAAAACCAAATATTTATTGGCGAAGACTGACAAATGTGCTAAGAAGTACCATCCAGCCATTGAAGCACTGCATACACATCGACGTTCCTCTTCAATTATATCGGGAAAAAGTCTTCGCAGTAGCGTCTCACACAGCAGGAGTAGGGGGAACTCCAGTGGGGTGTCAGGAGTGTATCGAAGCATGATAGGCGACTCCGTTACGCCTATTGCTCGCAACAACACTGCTACCACATTGGACATTCGCTTAGTGCAGTTTATTATCGACATGAACCCGATCAACAAGTATGTGCGTGATGGTCTATCGGACGAGCATGTACGAAGCATCGAGAAAGAGTGCTGGACACGTTTTAAACTCCTCTCAGTAGCTCAATACGGAATCACTCGCCTGTTAGAGGAGCTCGCCCCTAGCGATACGCTCTTCAGTCAATCACCCGGTGCCTCTGGCTCCATGGACCAACGATCTCCAGTCAAGATTCAGCCAGCTAGAAACGGCACACTGCATCGTACACGTTCACTTCGAAGTGGTGAAAATACAAGCCGAAAGCGCAGTATAGACGAGTTGGTGATGGCAGCTTCGAACCGAAGAGGAAGTGGCCCAGAAGCATCCAAGAAGTGGAAAGCGCTCGCAATAGCAGCGGCGCCAAGACTCAGTGCTCTATTTTCCAAGCGAAATGTCGGTGGACTACGTGATCGTAGGTTATCGATTGAAGCGCAGGAATTTCACTTGACAAGAACTGAACAATCAGCCAGACTTTCGCGTATGTCGCGCTGTCACTCCTTGCCGCAGTTCGGACGCGAGTTTTTCGATGAAATTCGTCGAGGTGATAGTACGCACTTGTCTGTCAACAGCACGCAGCCAGGTATTGACTTTGAGACGCTCCAGCGCTGTCAGCGTCCTCAGCATTCAATGCAGCTTCGACTATTCCACCGATATCGGGCGTGGAAGGACGGCAACCAAGCCACTGTTCTACCCGAACATCACAACTCAATTCGTCGCAATCTGAATGATACTATACCTCGAACTTCTTCGTTGATCGACAGATCAGCAGCGATAGGATCTCGGCTCCATATTGCTAGCCAACAAGCTCTGCATATGGCCAAGACGGAACTCAAAGCGACGAAATTCATCAAAGATGTCCAATTAATGGGGAAATTCTGGGACCTAGCCATGCTTTTGGTAGCGATTTACCACTCGCTTATCACGCCTTTTAAAGTGTGCTTTTCACCCGAACTTAGTGAATTATCCGACGCTGCGCTGCGTGGATGGTCCGGATTCGAGATTTTCATGGATTTACTGTGTTTATTCGACGTGTGTTACAAACTCTGGCACAGCTCTACAGCACAAGAAAATGGTGTTTCATCACTATCAAGCTCGCGACAGCCTGGAATTCGACGAGCACTGGCGTCAAACCCAGCGTTACGAACCGATATTGTTGCAATGCTTCCACTTGAATTGTTATTATTCAACAGTAATGTACGAATATCCCTGCCGTCTATCGAAGGTCATGGTTCTTGGTGGACATCTCGATGGATCTTACGCATGAATCGGATGCTTCTTGTTAGTCATATCGAACCTCTAACGGAGCAGCTATTCCAGTTTCTAATTTATGATCGAAAAGTACAAGTTAACGAGGCAGTCCTTTACTTTATGCGAGGACTGTCGTCCTATCTGACTATGGGGCATCTCTTAGCTTGTATGTGGTATATCACGAGTTACGTGGGTCTACAACATTATGGGACATCATGGCTCGCAACATCGGGTATGTTAACGTCTATCCAAGATGTTAAACACTCCCCCCAGCGAAGGCTTAGTGAACACGTGAGTTCTTTTTCGTTAGAGACCGTATCTCTTTCTCGCAAATACTTACGCTCATTGCTCTTCTCTTTGGAGTGTATTTCTACTCTATTTTACGGTGACATTCTCTCGATGAACCCTATGGAATTGGTAGCGGAGATCGTCATCACACTTTGGGCCATATACATCTATGGAGCACTTGTCGGAGCACAAGGAGAGCTCTTGGATGCACGCGCTAAACGTGAAGCTGCATTTGAACAAACGTTAGGCGAGCTGCATCACTATTTGGTCCAGAATGAAGTACCCAAGGACATAAAGAGACAGGTTAAGGTGTATTATGCGCGTCTGTGGGCTCGTCGTAAAGGGGAGGCTGAATATGCTGCGGTGGCGCACGTCTCGAGGTCTTTGTATGAGGATGTAGTGTTGGCTACGTTACGAGGTTTTGCAGTACAGGTTGCAGCATTCCGATCACTAGACGACCCATTTTTACGTGCTTTACTCGCTTGTCTACACTACGTCGTGTGCTCTGAAAAAGAGGAAGTTTTTGTCATCGGAGATATGGATCGAAGCATGTATTTCATTGCCCAAGGACGTGTCGCGGTCAAAATGGGCAACAGCGAGTCGATCCGAGAACGCGGTGAGTTTTTCGGGGAGCTGGCGTTACTTTACGGTATTTCTCGATTAGAAACATGTAGTGCTGTAACCGTAACGGAGCTTTATCGGCTAGATCATGAACCGTATGAACGTTTACTGCTGGAATTCCCTGAATACCGAGCTCGAAACAAGCTATCATGGACCGCTATGTCTACTAGTTCAACCCGGGAGCGTTCGATCGTCGAAGAAGCTGTGCGTTGTTTTAATAAACCTGGGAAGACTAGAAATCCTGGATTAGAAGGACCATCGAGTCAAATACCGACACTTCTCAACATGGAAAGTATCGCGATTAACGCTGAGCGTATCGATGCACAGTTGCCGCATTCATATATCTATCGCTCTGCCATGGAATTATTGTCTAGACTGAACAAAGTGCATCCGTTGGAGGCAAAGGATTTGTATGTAAGGAGTCGGTACGGTGCTCGTAGGCAACTCAAGACAGTCCTGGGTATTGCCACTGCAAGACCGGAAGCTGAGGATGCCGTGCGTAGTTTCCACAGCTCACCTGGAACACCACGGGAGACTAGTATTCACGAACATCATAGTGACAGCTTAGAGCACTTGGAAGCGGTTGTAGCTGAATTATCAAGACCAACAGACCACCAAAGAACGGAAACTATCAAGAAGGCTTTCGAGAAAGCTTAAAAATAATAGAATTTCTTTAACTATAACGTGAAGAACTGACAGATTATGCTGGATATTTTGTCAATTTGGCTGGTCCGTTCGTATCCGAGTGTTCCGCTTGTGCCCCGTTACTACTAACAGGTGTTACGCATCGCAACAGATGCTTGCGTGCACCATCCCGACACTTAAGAATCAGATCTTTCGCTTCCAGCGGGTGTAGTGACTGCAGACTGGCCAGCATTTTCATTGAGGATCCCAATACAAACGAGAATTGTAGTCGTGACTCCATGTTCTCAGCTGTAGTAGGCACCACTCTGGCAATACTTGGTCTCGATGCCAGCGTTCTGTGCAACCGAGGGGGGAACTGAGGCACTACTCTAACGGTCTCAGCAAATGTAGTCCATGCTAGTTTATTGCGTGCTCGATATTCTGGAAATTCTAGCAGTAGACGCTCGTAGGGTTCGTGATCTAGTCGATGCAACTCCGTTACAGTAAGAGCGACGCATGTCTCTAATCGTGAGATACCGTAAAGCAAAGTCAGCTCGCCAAAGTACTCTCCACGCTCTTTAGTAACACCTGACGCATCCGTCTTGACTAGAACACGTCCTTGAGCGATAAAGTACATGCTCCTATCGACATCGCCTTTCATGACGATTTCCTCGTCCTCCTCACACACAACATACTGTAAACAGACAAGCAACGCCCGTAAGAAATGTTCCTCTAATCCTCGGAACGCCTTAACTTGTGCGGCGAAATGACGGAGTGTAGTAGACACCACATCCTCGTATAACAACCGCGAAACTTTTTTCACTGACGAGAACTCACTCTCACCGCGACCTCGAACCCACAGCCGCGCGTAGTAAGCTTTAATCTGGCGTCTTAGAGTCTTGGGAACGTCATTTTGCAGTACGTAATGGTGTAGTTCTCCTAAACGTTGTTCAAACTTGGCCTCGCTCTTTGCACGCGCATCCAACAGCTCCGCTTGAGCGCCAACCAGCGCGCCGTATATGTAAATACTCCAGAATGTAATGATGATTTCCGCTACTAACTCTAACGGATTCATGGATAAGATATCACCGTAAAATAGAGTAGAGATACACTCTATCGAGAACAGGAATGACCGAAGGTACTTCCGAATTAGAGACACAGTGTCTAAAGAAAAAGTGCTTGCAGTCTGGCTTAGCATTCGACGTGCATGCTCCACAACAGTTGATTCATCTGCAATATACGTCAACATGCCGGAAGTTGCAAGCCAAGACGTCCCGTATTGATGGAATCCAGTTTCACTGGTGATGAACCAAATACAAGCGAGGAGGTGACCAGTTGCAAGATAGGATGCTAAACCTCTTATGAAGTACAGCATTTCTTCGCTGACAGGTATCTTGAGATCATGCACCATAAACTGAATAAGTTGCTCGGATAATGGCTCAATTCGACGCAGCAGCAGCATGCGATTCATTCGCAGAAGCCAGCGAGTAGTCCACCATGATGCACCACTGTGTAACATGGACGATTCCGGGATAGGTACACGGATGTTAGAAGCAAGAAGTAGGAGTTCAAGAGGCAGCATCGCGACAATATACGATCGTAACTCTGGATTCGCAGTAAGAGCGTGATGAAGGCCGTTTTTGGACGAGTTTGAGGCCGAGAAAATATTCTGTTGCATCGTCGAAGCGTGCTGCAATTGATACAGAACGTCAACCAAGCACAGTACGTCCAAGAGCATCTCTACAATCGACCAACTACGTAGTGTTCCATCGGATAACTCGATGAGAGCAGGTGAAAAGCTGATCTTGAATGGAGTGACGATCAAATGATAAACTGCTATCGTAAGCATGACAAAGTCCCACAATTTGCCCAGTTCTTTGACTCGTCGAATAAAAACTTGCGACTGCAAGTCGGTAGTAGCAGAGAAAAGTGCTCGTTGGCTCGGAAGTTGTAACCTCGATCCTACTGCAGCACCGCGAGGACGATTGAAGCTGCGGAAGCTTGGGGTTCCGGTCGGAGAGACAATAGAGCCTCGTTTACTTCCGGTGGACAGATTCGGTAGAACACGACTTGCTGAGGCCTTAGTAGAAGCTCTCCACTGTCGATAGAGGTGATACCAGTGTAATTGTTTAGCATATTGCGGTCGTTGGCAGCGCTGCAGAATCTCAAAGCTAATTCCTGACGTCTTCGACAGACTAGGCGCTTGTTTACGTTTTGTAACTCTTAAAAAGTCGGCCTCAATTACTGGTAAAGAAAAGCAGCGTGACCTTCGTACGTCTGTTGCAACGTGTTCAGAATTTGACGGACCAACTTGAGGTCGTTCATTAACCGCTGCCACAGACAACCGACGCCTTTTTTGCCTGGTTTTGTTGCCACCCGAAGACACTAACGGTGTTTTCCCTACCTTTAAAGTGCTCTTCAGTGAAGATTTCACCTTGGGAGCTTCCATGTTCCTCTTTTTTAGGCGAAAACTGGTGCTCAATCGAAGTCTTTTTCCCTTTCGTCCAGGTTGGATCTTGATTTCCGGACGACGAGTAGCTTGAGTATTATCTGAAATTACTAACTGGTTCAGAAGGTTATCAACTGCACGCTGGGCTTCCGCGAGAACTCCAAAGCGTGACCAGCATTCCCGCTCCATTGAACGAAGACGCTGCGTACTTAAGCCACTGTAAATATGTTTGTTCAGTGGATTAAGGTCCACTATGAATTGGAGTTGGCGGATGTCCGCTGTAGTATCGCCTGTAGACTTTTTAATCATAAATGAAGCATCGGAGTTCCCACTCTTCCATTGACTCCCGTGTGATACCGTAGTTCGATCTCTGCTCTGTGTAACTGAGCGCCGTACTGTTGCGAATATCGACGACGATCTTCGCGCTTGGATGGAAGCGATAGCTGGACTGAATTTCTCCGTACATTCGTCACTTTTCGTTAATAGATACTCAGCTTTCTTCTCCAGGAGCTGCACCTCCGGGTGCACAAATAACCGACATACTTCAGCTTGTGACATCCTTCGTGGAGGTGTGGCAGCTCGCAAGATCCCCGGACCGGTTTTATGGTTTGATTGCGGTTGTGTTTTTATATTTCCCTCTTCTGAAGGTGGATAAACGAAATGCTTGACTTGCTTAGCGGCTCGAAGAGTGGCGTTTTGATACCGTTGTAGTCGACTGCTGACCCAGCCGAGAATGGCATGGAGAGCGTGTTTCTGAACGTGAGTGTCTGCCGCATTGCCACTACTCGCCCAGAGTTCTTGCCAGTCATGTTTAGAAACGTACAACACCTCACAGAACATAGTAGCTTTAACAGTAGCAAGTCGTCGCTGGTTAGGGAGGAAGAACGCGATCTCGCCAAAGAATGCGCCTTCCATTAGTATAGCCACTGCGGCTACAGCACTTGTCCAGTAGCAAGCAGCCATGCCTTTGCGTAGTGTACACAGACGATTCCCATACGTTCCTTCCACTAGAATATCATCCCCTGGGATGAACAACTCGGGTTTTAATCGTAATGCTAGATTGTTCACCTGCGACGCTGTCAAGAATCGACAAATTGGCAGATTCGCAATGGAATTTCCGTAAATTTCAAGCATTAGTTTCAGACGAAGGTTGGCGGACAAATCGTGCACTGTAGCGAACAAATCGCTCCCTTTTGTGTGCTCGAAGTGCACGCGAAAGAAATAGGTGATACGATCCCGTAATGTCTGAGGCAGTTCATGTTTTTTCGCAAAACTCTCGAAACTCGCGACGTGACTTTTGTAATGTTTTGTTTCTTTCCCAAGTTCGAGGATAAGTTCTGATATTTCTCCCACAATGTGACCGATAATGAATGTGCAACACAAACACGTGAAGCCTGTCCACAACGTACCAGCCGTATCACGAGGAACACTCTCACGAGACCCTACTAGCAGTAATGTCGTGGTAGCCCAGTAAAAAGACTTTGCGTATAGCATAATCAGCGAGTGGTGATACTGATGAAGCAGATGATCATTGTCTACCCAGCACTTTTGAACGTGTTCGCATTCATGTTCTGAGATCCAAAAGAAAATACAACCCACATAGTGAGCCACGAGCACCAAGATGATCATGAGCTTCACTGGACTCAGATACGCTGATACATTGTGAGACGCGAAATGCTGCTGGATGAGAATAATGCCATCGTCAAGGTACGTCCATATATCGATACATCTAATAAGGCGAGGTAATCGACACAGACTGGCAGTCAATGATCCGCTGGCAAATGGAGTGTAGAGTGGCAACGACGCCAGAATATCCCACTTCAACGTCGAACTCCGACGATACTGTTTATCGACCTCTTTCCGCTCGATCAGGTTTTCCAACCCGACATCAGGACAGCCGAAGTAATACAGTCGAAGGTAAATATCAAGTGCAAAGAAGATATCGCAGCAAATATCTGCAGCCCAAATAGCAGTATTAGTTCCACTGGAAAAGTGAAGATGAGAGTGAAAACACACTCGAAATATAACGAAAAACGCATTGTAGACGTTCCAACTAGTGACGAGCGCATTCCATACTGTAGTTAACGACTCCCTCAAATGTATCCCACGAACGAGTTGCTGAGTCCCTTTTGTAATGAGAGCATTGTCACGCTGATAAAAGAGCGTTGGGGTATGCATGGAGTGGGGCTGTAATTTGAGCTTCTCTAGATTCGCAACGATGCGTTCAAGTCGATTCTGGTCTACAATCACCAACGCTTCAGCCTTAGATTTCATGTCACCAACGTCTTTAGCAAATTTACGCTGGATAACGTCGAATTGTTCTCGTGTCATGACCGAAGCCTGAACATGCGCCGCAGCACGGATCGTTGCAGGATATGGTCGTCTTAACAGAAACTCGTTCACACCATAGCTGTCTCCGTTACAGAGTGCACGTACTGGTGCTTTGCGAAGTCGAAAAAACAAATTGACCTTGCTGTTGTGCAAGAATACAAAGAATTTCCGGCACACATCTCCCTCCAGACAAATCGTTTCGCCATTTTGATAACTTCTGTGACGGAATTTTCCCGTCACTTCTTTAAGAAATCCCGTGCTCGCTGAATTAAAAAGTGGGATACACTTCACGGCTTCGGAGTGCAAAAGCGACGAGATCTTGTAGCACAATTGGTCGGGTAAATTTGACAACAATTGAGACTCGTAACATTGCTTTCTTCCAGTGAATTGTTGATGGTAGAAGCGTCGAATTTCACCGCTTAAATGTTCCGAAACCTCCATCCGCTCCAAGACGTGATTCAGCGTATTAATCTTCTCCATATAGTGGTGGTGTGGAGCCATCGCGTTCGAAATAGTACTTGACATTGCTCCCACAACGCCAAAGTTAATAATTCCTCCCACAAATATCCAAAATGCTGCAAAATAACTCTCTGCAGTAGAGTACGCGACGATATCGCCGTACCCCACTGCTGTCAGTGTCACAACTGCCCAGTACAACGAACGCAGATACGCGAATGGAGCCTGGTACATTGATTCTGGGTTCTCTACTGGGAAAGTTACGCCAATATGCGAGTAACAATCGTAAATTACCCAAGTACAGTTCTGAAATTTCGTGGCTTGTTCCAGACACTCGGGGCGGGTTAATGCTGACATGGTTGCTATGTCACCAAGCAGAGAATCGCTATCTTGTTCAATTAATGTCATTTGGAACCATGCGCAGCCAACCACGTGCAACATCAGAGTAACTCCAAGAACTAAGAAGACAACAGTCTGTAGTTTGGAACTCAATCCATAGAAATCAGCGAGATTGGCTAGTAAACTTGGTATCAAACGTATGCGTAGCATACGAAGCAGACGGAAGATCGCGGAATATCCGTGAATTGTGCCAGCAGGTAGAAAATCTAGCACAAGACCCACAGGTAGCCATGCTACCAAGTCGATATAAAATCCATTGGCTTTGTAATTTTCGAAGATAAGGCTTGGTTGCACCACATTCAGCATCACATTCGGGTCCAAATACGAGAAATAACGTGCGCGGAGAAAGAGATCAATTCCTAACAGAACCTCGACCAAAACCGTTAACACGTAGCGCAGACTAACGTCCTGCTGGACCATGAATATATCCGCCTCGTCGCCCATAGTAATAAACACAGCGAAATACGGAACCTCAAAGGCAACGTAAACGATCGCTGCTAGACGCGCTGTATCCCACAATACACTGAAATACGATCCAGGATGCTGCCAGCTGATGCCTCGAACGGATTCGGCCGTAGTTTTGTCTTCGGCGATCAGACTATGAGAGCTCATAAGCATTTTCCTGCTTCCACCTTCGCGAATACCTTGCATACCCAACATTTTTTGCATCTTCTGAAGTTGGTTTAGATATTTTTCCAGAGTATCAGTCATCCGTAAGCGTACATCAGCCTCGTTTCCACGATAAAACTCTTTTAAAGCCTCGTCGAATTTGCTCTTGGCTAATACATACAGTTCGCAAAACGTTTTAGCCACAGCCTTCTGCTCGTACTGTTCTGGATCGAGTAAGCAAACGTCCGCAAAGAATTCCCCCGCTGAAAACTCCTTGGCGTTCGAGCCGTTAAACGCCGAAACCACCACTTTGCCTCGTATCACGAAAAAAGTCTCCGCATTGATCTTTGGCTCGATGATCTGGTCTCCAGGTGAGTATACCCGTCGGACGAGTGCAAGTGCCAGCATGTTGGTAAACTCGATACTCTCCTTTGTAAGAAAACACACTTGCTTTAAACGACTGGCCTTGATGTTGAACACGACTTTGGACTGCAAATGCTTGGGCATCAAACGAAGAGCATCTTCGCCGTCGAGACTCTGGTGTGCGTTCCACGAGTAGCTGAAAAACGCCATCACTTGATGCCGTAATGGTCGTGGAATATTGCGAGAGCGCATATATTCTCGAGCATTGTCCATATGGGTCGTGTACGCTGCGTACCGAGCATTGCGAAAACGAAACAAAAACAGGAAATTAGCTAGTAATGACGATCCACATAGCGCCCCCATGAGCACAACAACCACTGTATACAGTGTTTCTGCATTGGAAACAGGCGTCACATCGTCATATCCGAGCAACACGAGCGTTCGCGACGCCCAATACAGTGTACGCCCATATTTTCTTGCAACTGAAGCCCCAAAAAGACGATCTCGGACGACCCAGCTCGTCTCTGTGTCTTGGTGGCAGAATTCTAGGCCAACACCGCATTGCAAATGTGCAATGAGCATATATCCACACGCCGCCCAGTGGCATAACCCCGCACAGACTCCAATCGTCCTAACTAAAGTATCTACACCCGTAGACGACAAATGCTGAGACCACGCCCGATGGGAATAAAGCTTTGCAATTCGTGCGAAACAACGCCGAAGCTTGTAGAGTCGACACAGCTTGGTAATTCGCACCAGATGCAGCACATTAAACGCTCTTAGAGCGATTGGAATTACCTCCACCGGAACCAGTGCAACGAGCTCTAGTAATAACTCTAAACGCAATTGTGTCCTCTTAGAAACGACCGTCTCGGGCATGGAGGAGGCGGATAAAATGGTTGCAATTGTCCACTTGACTTTGCCTTGACGCTGATGCTCGATGAATGATGGTGTTCGAGTGAGAGTGTTGGTATCCGACCTTCGGGTGGACGTCACCTCAGACGTAGCTGAAAATACGGACGGTTGTGTTCGTCTCCAACGACTGAAGAAAAATCTGAATTGCACGAGAGCTATAAGGTCAATAAGTGTGTCGATAGCGGTAAATACTGTGAGTTCCTTTGTCCATGAGTGATGATCGTCGTACGGATCGTAATAAAAAGCCACGCGAAATGGCACAGTCACGAAAAGATAGAGCAACCCGAAGAGGTTCACGACTACGAGGAATGTTTGTCGAGTTGTCCAGGAGAGGTGGATGTGGTAGGAGTGAACTGCTTGCTGTAGTACGCGTCGAAGCTTGGACACGGGGACAGCAGATGATGACGGACCACTTCCGCTCACTAGAAGCACTTCATTTGGCCCATCGAGGGCATCCGTACGTGGGCGAACTTTGTTCCGCGCCATCTCGAGAGCAATGAGAAGTGAGACCTGTCGGTTAGACGTCGACGAGGTCGAAAATAGGACAGAGGACGCATGAAGAAACGCACTACCCGTGCAACGGGACCTGTAAGTGAAATAGGCTACTTTTGTTTGTCCAACTGGTTGTGGCCATGAATTGGACAAACAAAAGACAAATAGGTCACATTTTTATTTTTAATTTGTCGGTTAAAAAATAAAAATTGAAAAACGTAAAAACAGGACAGTAAAAGTACAAATGTGTGTGTGTGTGTGAGTGGGGGGGATACGTGCACGCCATGCCAGTATCTCAACGTCGTCGCCATCGTACACGGGATCCAGAATGCTCTTCAACATCAAGTACGCTTCACTTCCGTCGATGTAATATGAACGCTTGATTTGCTTGTGAAGCCGTCGGTAGAAATTGAGCTTGACAGCGTTCTCGGAGTTTGTCTTCATTTGTAGCGCTGCGTTGTGTTGCCATCCTCGAGCAATGTGTCGATTGCTTGCGTGGAGCTCCTGCAGCACGCCACGAGTTGTACAGCTTGACAGACGCTCGAAAGTGTTCATTGCCGAGCGGTCGTCCGCTTGAAACAGTCGACAGGCATTGATGAAAGAAGTTTTGCGTCAGCGGTTCAACGGGGAGTCGGAGATGACAAAGTCGGACGATGTGCGTGTTCGCAAGCACATACGCCTCTAAGACCATCTTATTCATGTCTTTTAGCACCTCCTCCCACGGCAACGTCTTGGATTGCTCGGTGCAGAACGACTTGAGCGAAATCTTGATAACACTTACGTCTTTGTCAGCGTTTGCTGCGCGTCGTGCAGCCACATCTTGACGTCGTCGCTTTGTCTCTGTGGTCAGGTGTGAGAGCTCCGATGAGATGTCTTCGATATTTTTCACTTGCGAGTTTGGTCCTGGGTCGTTTTCAGCGTCCAAGCGAGGACGCTTCGTCGCCATCGTGCAAATTGTCGAATGATATGCTAGCTCTCCTGCTTTGGCAACAAAGATGCGGTCTAATTTACTGAATTCAAGTATCAATTGGCCGAATTTGTATTCATTGTATTTGCAGTGTGTGAGTGATGTTCAGTAAATAGCCGCCTTTTTACTCTGACGGGGCGAACTGGTCCAATTGCTTCCACTTACAGATATTACTATCGAGTTACTGTCAAAGTATTGTCATACAGCTGAAGAAACCCAGGAGCTTCTGATCAACGTGATCATTATCATTCCCCTCTTGCCTGTATACAAATATTAATGGCTAGCCAACACAACGATCGCTGTACAAAACGAGTATGCGCTTTACACTTGCTTATTCTCATGCAGAAGATACGTTCGCAGCTAGCCTTGATCCCAAGCTACGATCTACCAACGCATTTGCTCTCAATAACGGAAGAAAATTAAACTACTGCCAATCCCTTCTCTCAAGTTGTGGGCTAATTAGAAAGGTACTAGTACATCAGCATGTTTGGATTTTCAATGATCACAGATCCGTATGGGCAAAGCGGACTTCTTATTGACTCGCATCTCGGGGTGTGGAGTGGTGGGTCGAGAGCAGAGAAAGAGGAGAAATGAGCCCAGGGACCCTGGGCTCCTACCCAACGGTACTACAACTAGCTAAATATACTACCTGCGATCCGAAAAAGATGCCTTCCTCTTCCGCTACTTCTGCGATGTCTTGTTCGAGGAAACCGACCATTTTCAATGATCACAGATCCGTATGGGGAAAGCGGACTTCTTATTGACTCGCATCTCGGGGTGTGGAGTGGTGAGTTCCAATCAACCGCCAAGACACAGTCCGTTCTCCCCAAAGAAGATACCCTGCTCTGATAGTCGGTACTTCTGCTTGTCACGTAGGTGTAGCTTGAGCCCTTAGCTCGAGGTCGATCTGCACATTAACCGAGCGAGACCTCTGGATCCTTTCGCCGAGAGTGTTGGATATCCTTCAAAAGCATTGGACAACCATCTGCCCATCAACTTGATCACCAGTCGATCCGCCCCAGAGTTCATCAGCTCCGTAGCACCTCCAATACGGATTGAGTGGGTAGAATACAGCCTAGCATCCAAACCCATCGCACTTGCAGCTTGCTTGAGAGTGTCTGCCACCTCTTCCGCAGCAATTCCCGAGCCGAACCCTGTTGACAGCGCCGGTTGGTCGGGCTGTGTGGCGAATGCACGTGCCCCTCTAAGTATACAACGTGCAACTTTAACTGGGCACAGTACTTTATCTCCTGAGCGGCTGTGAAATCGCAGCTCATCACGTCCAACTGATTGTTCTTGGCTCCTGACAGCCGGATGCCCACAACTTCTGCCTGCCGCGGACTCACGTGTGTCCGGCCTCGTTCCGAAATACAATATCTCCGAGTCGAAGCGCGTACCGGTGGTGCTTTCGGCCAATAAACAGATACTCAGATCTGCGTAGAAGAAAGAAAAATGCGAGTAGCAGCCCACCCCAAAGAAGTTGCCCCCGAGCATGTTGAACATCGACTAGAAGAAAAACTTTTCGGAGAAGCGAGGGGGTGACTGACTGCTGCTTGACGACCGAATCTGTAAGTCTTCGGATACCACGCAGCAAAATCGCGTGCCCTGCGTTGGCACCTGAGTCGTAACCGGCGGTGTTCTTGTGAAACCAACGCACCGCACAGAGCTTGCTGCAAATTGCCGTGCACGTATTCCCCACTCCTGCACGATTCATTCCGTACCGCCATAAATACACTGCAAAGGCACCGAGTTGAGCCGCGTTCGCGTCCACAGTGTCCCGTCCGAGCCACGGGGTATAGTCCATGAAGCTGTACCACCGAAGCCACTGATCCCAAGAACGGCGGTATTGCACGCGAGAAGTGTCGGCTAAAGCTCCAGCTCGGAGCAGCGCACTCAAAGTGTGAAGAGTTTTCTTGAGTTCGGTGGTATCTCTACCTGTGACCACGCAAACGACATGTCAGCAAATGATCGCGCCATCTCCTCCGATTGCCACACCCGACTCCCAACATCTGCCATGACATTCTCGGCTCCGGGAATATGAGCGGCAGACGAGTAAAAATTGTAGCGCACTTCGAGAAAACCAATGAGCCTTAGTAGCATTTGGGCGAATAGATTCCGAGAGGATCTTCGATTTGCCCACGCCACCGCTGAAGTATTATCGATCCAGAATCGCGTATGAGCCTGTTCAACTTGACCCGATTGTGACCACTGAGAGGCCCAGACAATTGCTGCGAACACGGCACTCATGAGCTCGCGAATGTTTATGCTGAACTCGTCTGATGTCAAACCATTAAAGTCTGCGATTTGCTGTAGTTCATCTGCGTCAAACTCCAACTGCAGATATTCCTTTCGAGCAGGCCAGAGCGCACACAGACCTCGATCGCTAGCGTCCATATGAATATGATGATCCGGGTCTTTTGCGTTAACGAAGCGAGACAGCTGTACCGAATTGAGCCTTCCCACACGAAGGATTGCAGTAAACCATCTTAGATCGTCGCGCACGTCGTCAGACACCAAAGAAGGGCGATACCGAGTAGTTGTTCGAGCAAATGACGCGATCCGCTGGAAAAATGGTGCGGCCGAACGCACACACGTGGCCACGTGCCTTAGACTTCCCAGTAACTTGTTTAGTTGCGTTTTTGAGGCCGTTTGGGCAGCTTGAAGATCGCTTAGCCTTTGAAGAGCTTTTGTGATTTTGTCCTCGGGCATTGAGAGTGTCATCAAATTAAGGTTCCAGTGAAGTCCAAGAGCTTTTCCTTCTGTAAACCACGGCGTAAACTTCTCTTCGTTGCACGCGTTCGGACCCAAAATCGTTACCATCGCCGATCTAAGAGAAATACTTGCCTCCATCAATCGAGAACCGATATTTGGCTCAATACAAATGTGATCGTCGCACCACGCCTTGCCATCGTACTTATCGGAGCCCATTGAAGGTTGACCTGACCACGTCGGAGCGGTATTCTTATGAAGATGCACGATCGCTCCCCCTGCTGCCCAATACTGTCTTGGAGAATCAGTCCAACCAAAAGGACAAGCCAAATCGACCACAAGAATACCGAGCTCGGGAATAGTACCGGAGAAGCGCCCCGCAGCTTCTGCTGCTACAGGAATATTGCGAAATGCGCCTGCAACATCTCCAGTAGACATGCGAGCTGCCCCTGGAAAATTATGGTCCACATCTAGTACCCGTCGAGCCAGTACATGCACCGTCGTAGGTAACCAAAATTTGAGATTCCTCCTGGGCTTGATCGCTCACCGAACTACCTTTTGAACACGAAAGATCGTGGATCACCCTCGCATCATCTGTGATGTCTGCTTCCCCTTTCTGCACCGCCCCAAACGGACTACATGTGACGCCATCAAAAGAAGACAGCAGCTCGATATCAAGAATTAAGTATCGATCTTCGTCTTGGCCTTTTCTTAAGCTTTTGATAACAGCATTGAGGGCTCGTAACGCGGATCCATGGTTCTTCGGGGGCTGCTGTTGGCTTGTAAACGCCGAAGACCACGTAGGTCTGATACCGTGTGTCACAATTTGGCGCCATTCATCTCTGTACTTGTAAGATCTCCAGCAGGGTAGATGATCAGGGACTCCCAGAGCCTTATTTGGCCGAGGATCTTCGGAAGTTTCTCCACGAACCAGTCGAATAAAGTCTGGCAGGCTCATTTTCGACCTTCTAAGTAGCTCGCTGTACGCACACTGTTTGTCCCGGTCAATCACAGATCTTCGCGTGGCGTTCTTTAGAATCCAAGTTGGTGAGGCCCCAGGTGGATCCACACCATACTGCTTCATGACCGAGGCTAGGCCATTACATGCACTAAGGTGTTGAAGGCTCAAAAGTTTTTCACTTGCTCGAAGTGTCAGCGTGTAGCGATGCTGTTGATCTGTCAAAAAATTTCGCAGTCGACCAGATAAGGCAGGCTGCGATACGTTCACACGCTCCTGTTTGCCTTTGCCGTGAATCAGAGACGCACGCGACCTCCGAACCGACTTGCAACTCTTATGCAGCGGCAAAACATCACGCCCTTAGGGGATTCCACCCCCGGAAGACCAACCGACCGACCTGCAATTCTGATGCAGCGGCAAAACAACGCCCCGAGCGTGAACTGGAGTCACATGGGGCCAACCGACCTGCCTGCAACTGTCGTGCAGCGGCAAAACAGCATCCGTTGCGTAAACATGAGTCACGTTGCACCTTTCGACGGCGCTGCAGCTATTATGCAATAGCGTTCTGGCCGAGGTCGTGCACTCTCCCGACGTCACTGCGTGAGACGTTTGCAGCTTGGCAGGGGTGAAGCTACAATTCACTTCATTATCATCGCCCGCGCTGAGCTTGGAGCTGGATGGAGGCTTCTCTATTGGCCTGAGGATGGTTGCACTCCGGACCTCCTCATGGCCCCTTCAAACCTCCGCTTGACTACCTGTAGATTGTGCCTCCATGTTCCGCAGTCCTCCATAATTCTTAATGATGAAGTTTTTCACAATCACCGGCAACTTAACTGGCACGAAGTGTCCTCGGTAGTCGAAAACGCACGTATCCCCTTCACCAGGGCAGCCGTCACTTGACAAAAATTGCATGCACAGCTTTTTGCCTTTTCGAATCGGTAGCGCAGCCACCACTTCCTGAGGCACAGGAGCTCCACGTCCGTGGCGAGAACCGCTGTTAGCTGTTGCCCGCGTGTTCGACTTCTTCTGGCGAGATGTTGGCTTTTGAGCTGCGGACAACTTGAGAGCTGCTTCCACCTTGAGATTAGTCACGCGCTGAACCACTCGCACATATGACTCGTGGTTGAACTGAAAGTGAGTGCCTACACTATCTGCGGCCACAAGGTCGCCTTGTGCCACGAAGGACCGGAAAGTTTCAAAGCGGTCGTCGATCCAAGCCACTATCTCTGGTACAGCTTCAGCTCCTTGCATAGTCTTCGTTTTCCGCAGCACCAGCAAGAACCGTCTGGCTGCGTCGACCAAATCTGCTACCCTCTGGGTGCACATCTCGTTCACTAGCAAGGACAGCACTTCCAGCGCTGCTACCACGTCGGCGAGGTCTTTAGACTCCTGAGGCTCCGGCAGCTTATTCTTTACTGAAAACTCCGCCATATCGTAGCGCCTCAGGTGATCCCGCTCCACTTCCACGTCCATTGGCGAAAAATGTCAAATCGAAAGCCCTCGAAATCCAAAATCCCAGGCAAAGAATCCTCGTGCAACGGCCGGGTGTGGCAAGTAATCAAAATCCTTGGATCGAGACTGCATTGTCTCTACAAACAACTGATCATCCAAGCAGAAATACGTACCATTAACCATTGCGCTGTGCACAGCGCAATGTCACCCGCTTGGTCTGAACTGCGACTTGGTTTCCTTGACTGCCGCGCTCACCAGTGACGTCGAGCTCCCTTTGTTCAGGTTTGCCTGGCGAAACGCGATCAGCTGGTCAATGTCTTGAACCATCTCAGCGTCGTCCCCGAGCCGTTGTCTTAAGGCGAAGAGTCTCGACTCTCGTTGACCATCTGGGGAGCTTTGTGGGGATCCCTCACGGTCCCGTTTAGGACGGCCCTCGACGGGTCGCTCGTCTTGGCGCGGTTCTGAAGGGTCCAGGTCGTCATCCGAGTCATATAACTGTTCCAACCTTTCATTGTCTGCTACGCTCCTGGCTTGCGGGCTTGCTCCACCCATGCCCGCACCCGGAGGGGCTATGCCAAAGAGAGCGTTCGGTACAGAAAGTCCTTGTGGTGGTCGTCGTTTACCTTCGCGATAGAACACAAAATTTAGGATGTGCTCTATCTTTAGAAACTCAACCTGGGTATTCTCGAGGTTGTATACCGGCACCATTTGACTCTCGTCCACAGGGTTCATCGAAATTTTCTTTAGCACTGTTGCCGTGCTTCGGCGAGCAGATTGACCGACACCATTGAAATGGTCATGAGCAGCGTTGTGCAGAGCCCGCATTTCTGCAGGCATGACGTCCGTCGTTCCCCGCAGGTAGCATGGGCGAAGAGCGTAGGTCTCCAGAGCCAAGTCCTGGAATTCTTCACTGCCGAAAGCCAGGTCACGGGTAGCGTCTGCGAAAGTGACCTGTAGAACACCTGACTTTCCGAGGTTATTCCAGGTGTAGCTGACCACCACACCGTAATTCCAGACCTTGGGTTTTCCTTGAGGAACTCGGGCGATGCACAAGGTGCTACCGACGTAGGTTCCTATACCACTTAGGGCTTCCTCTTCTGTAACGCCACGTTGCTTCACCTCAGGTGCTCCGCGCTGGGCCGAGAAGGCTCCGATGCCCTCCCACCTCCCGCTAGGAACACGCTCAATGTCATACGCCCCCTGGCGCTCCTCTGAGGCGGTCCTTCCGTAGGCGAAGCCTTCCGTTCTGAGAACGCCGGGTTTGAACAGAGCATAGAGATTGATCGGGGCCATGTATCACCGTGTAATCCGGGAAAGCCGGCACCAAAGGTCGTCGTGGTTTCGAGGTTGTCGAGAGCAGAGAAAGAGGAGAAATGAGCCCAGGGACCCTGGGCTCCTACCCAACGGTACTACAACTAGCTAAATATACTACCAACGATCCGAAAAAGATGCCTTCCTCTTCCGCTACTTCTGCGATGTCTTGTTCGAGGAAACCGACCAGTCAATAAGGTGTAATCAAGTGTCGACGTGACTACGGTATTTACCAGGCAGCTTCGATCAGTCGGTAATATCGAGGGAAAGCAGATTTGAAAATGATGCAACCGATATGGTGTAGAGCAGCATCGAAAGATCCGAGTTGATGAACATGTTTTTGATCAGCACTCTTAATGTCTTCAATAAGTGGCAAGTTTTGGTTCATTTGGACAAACAGCTACGTAAAAAAAAATTGGATATCAATCTCGAGATTAGTTTTATTCTAAAAGTCCACAAACCACAACGCAAGGCACCAGGAAGATGTGAAGAATCATACGTAAAGTTGCAGACTAATGGTGATTATTTTCCGCGCTATCGCTTGTAACATTGCACTCGGCTTTTTCTGGCAAATACTCAATAAATTACCGATTTGCAACCAACCTCAACATTTTAGCTTTCAAGAGACTGATATATTACGGCAAATTCAATTCACCTGTAGCTTCTCTCTCCTACTCGGCCTTAATGCCCTTCTGGCACACGTAAATGTAGTGCACAGCGTTGGCATCAGCCTCCGAGACCTGCACGGCGCTGACTGTGGGCTTGGGCACCGTGTGCACCGACACTTTCCACTGCAGCTCCTTGTTCTCGAGGTAACTCAGTCGGTTATCCGGCACGCCATACGACACGATGAAGTAGACGCCGTTGGGCTTGAGCACGCGGTGGATTTCCTGGCACATTTTGGCCACGTTGGCCGTCGAGCCTTCGCCACACAAGATCGAGTCCATCGTGCCCTTGTCCACTACAGCGTCATACGTTTCATCCGCAAAGTCCAGCGAGCACATGTTCATCTTCTGCCACTGCAACTGCTCCACACGGTCCTCGTACTTGGACGCCATCTGCTTCACCACGATCTCCGAGACGTCCACGTTCATGATCTTCTGGTATCCGTCGTTCACCATCTCCTCCGACAGTCGAGAGTTGCCGGCGCCGGCCATCAGGATACTGTCCGTCTTCTTCACATACTGATTTAGTAGTTCTTTCAGGCCGCCATAACGCTGGTACCAGTCAAATTGCTCCGAGTCCCTAAAAAGTGGAAGAAATGTGTCAGAAGCGAGTCATATCTTTGAATACTGGACGGAGAGTTGGCATGCGGGAGCCATGTGTGCATTCACAAGACATAGAGGAAGAGAACGCACTTGGTGTAGCGCTCGTCCCAGTACGTGGCCTTGCCGTATTGCGCCATGTCGCCGAAGGGGTTGGTTGCCTTTTGCCCTCTAGTCGTCGCGATGAATAATGGGGCAAAACGTGTAACGAACCACGAGTCGTACTTAAACGAACGTATACATGCTGGTGTATACGAGCAGGAGTGATGGTTGGGACTTCAACGCTAGATCTATGCCGATGTTGTCACAAGGCTGGGGGAGCGATTGCTGTCGATGCTGGACGTGCCATCCTCGTCGACTAGCTCTAGCGACGACTAACAATCGTACATATGCATCAGCGTTCTTACTTCGGTAGCGATTGCCTGTCTTCCACCACAGCTCCACTGCAACGCACAATACAGGCAAGCCACAGTAGACGCTAAGCATTGGTGAACTTGAAGATAAGTCGGATGTGATCGTCTCAGCAGACGACGACATGGAGGTCAATAGTATACCTGAGCAGGATGAGCTATCGTGCGCTGCTTATTGTCCGAACTCATACGGTTTGTTAACTATTGCGAATACCAGACACAACAAGTACTAGCCGACTACGCGATGCTATTGTGGACAAACGATTATTGATAAGCAGCAAGTCTCATATATTGGCGCATGCTGCACGCGGCACTACCTTCGTGCCATGCATCTTCATGCGTGCTAACAGCTACTATCTGTATGTTTCCAACCCAGCGACGAATCGATGACTATCTGTGCAAGTGAGAGGACTATCCGCTCGCCTTGCTGATCCAGCGTGCGATCCAGCTTAATATATTGACGCAGACACGACCCACAGAGCGAAGCTGGTGCGAGTGCTGCGTGGCTGTGCCAACTACGACGAGATTATCATGGACAAGGACCCGCTGGTGCATTACGAGACGATGCTCGAGGGTTTCAACTTCGTCAAGAACCAGTCCCCACCACTTTGCATTTGAGAATGAATCCGCGCTGATTTACCGGCTCCAACATCTTTGTAAACCCACCACACTTTGATTGAAGCTATCTCATCGAAACGTTTTGTACTTTAAACTTGGTAAGCAAAAGGATTCCCAATGCTTTGGTGTCATTGTTTGCTTAATAAAAATATCCTACAATAATAAGCGGCAATTTTTAAATATGTTGACTCGGTCCTCAGTGGGCACTTTGCTGGTAAAGCCGCCATGACCCTGTCCTATTATGGAGATGTTAAGATAACAATAAGTTGGTTGTTTTTCATAAACAATGCCCACGCCTTATGAAGTGGCACGACGATTTATTAATCAAACATGTACACATAACTAATGCCTCCTCCCCCTCCCCACCCCCCAAGGCGCCACAAGCCGATGTATTAGTTGTATAGTGACTCTGTCTGGCCTGAGCTCTTGTGCGTTATACCTCATTGTTGTGCACTTACTCAGTCGAGAATATCTGCGATTCGCATTGTGCGTGAACCAGTTCCAGTGTGCATATCGTTTTGCTGTCTTTCAAGATTGTCAGTGTGCGTTTGACCCTGAGAGCGTGAAGCCATGATGAACGAAGTCTGCTGAAAATCCACGCCATCTAAAGCTAGCTTTGCCTGTGACATAACCAGCGCGAGATCTAACGGATCCGGGATAATATCAGCCATCGCGACTGCAAAGTCCATCCACTCACTAATTCTTGAAATGTAACCCGTAGTTTTCTCAATCGAGAAGATAATCTGAGATGGCACCGTGAGCACTTTGCCAATTAGAGTGTTGCGCAGTTGTGTGTCGGAGACGAGGTGTGGAAACACGGACTGGATGGTATGGAATGTGAGACGAAGGGCATACGTCGCGCTTGATTCGACCAAACACGAGCTGCTAGTGTCATCTAACTCCGTTTGAATAGGTCCTTTCTGCTGAAATGCCAGCACCTCGAAACATTCACTGAGTGCGTACCAACGCTCTCTCACTTGGTCAGCCACAGTCGACATCGTGCCAGCCTGCCTCGAGTTAAAGCGATACAAGAAGAAATCACGCTGTGATGCTCCGGAATATTCCGTGGTGCCTTGTTCGTAACCGGCTGCGAAAGCGGCGAAATAGTCCTCTACAGTTCTTTGACAGAATTCAATTGTAGGAGAAGTTTGCACTGTGTTGACAGTGCTGCCTCCAGTCGTGTTAGAGAGAGTATTATCTTGAAGAGGGACAGGCGCTTTCTCTTCATCCTCTTCACCCTCATTCGCGACACAAAGCATTCCATTGTACGATATTAATGCGCGCCCGAGGAGCATATCCACGACTCGTGGATCTTTGACAATGCTCAAAAACGCCCCCACAAAGTTCATTTCGACGTCGTATCTGTAACACTTGCCCGCTGGGTTGAAGTGGAAAGTAGATCTCCCCTGAGCTTCCACTTGCTGCCCCACGAGCATCGCTACGAGCCACTCGTGGCCCATGATATGAGGGAATATCATCTTGATCGTGCTACGAGTGACTTGAAACGAGAACCAGGCCGCATCCGAGACCAACACCGAGTCTTCGGCAACGACAATACTGTCTACGACCCCTTTTAACGAGATAAAACGCAAGAAATTGGTGTAGTTGACCATCTGATCCATGATAACGTCGGGGCCTCGGGGGAGTCCGGGGCCCAGTTCCACGTCCGGGTCCATAACATTGTGCATAAACGCCCTTTGGTCTCGATTTTTCCGTCCAGATTGTTGAGGGACAACCCCTTTGCGGAACACGTAGAGATACTCGTTCACAAGTCTCGTGAGTGAGCCTTCGGGGGTATGGCGTTGCACCAGAGTTTTGGTCTGTAGGATCTCACGTAGCGCTAGTAAATTACGCACTTCTTGTTGCAAATTCTGCACGTCCAGCTGCAGGTTGAAGGCCACGGAGCGTTCGTTGGGAATCGAGCGATAGGGTCCCCATCCTTTTCTGGGTTTATAGGGTGTGCCATCTTTCTTAAGTCTCGACTTCTTCACTCGGTATGACGGCTTCGTGTTGGGCGTTGTAGTACCAGGAGACTTGTCTTCATCCGGAGCTTGTGAAGGCTCCGACATCGTGTGGTTTCTGTTACTGGCCAACTAAGACAGTATGTGCTTGCTTGTAGGTCAGAGGGGATCTCAAGGGTCACCATTAACTGTCCCCTTAGGAGGACATGCGTATGCATGCGTCGAAAGTACGAACAGGCACAGGAATGTACCTCAACGAACAACGAACTTGTAGAACTTTCGATGAAAATGTCGCTTTGCCGTTGGATGGCATTCAGACGAAAAAAACCCATTAAAATGTTAATGGGTTTTTTCGTCTGAATGCCATCCCAGCCAATCAGCATCCGTAGCGACGAGATTTTGGAACTATGTGTGAATACCATCCAAGCTTATATTATTACGACCCAAAATTGGACTTTTTTGAGTTGGTTCCGAATAACCCAAATAAACCGTATCGTTGGATGGCATTCAGACGAACAAAAAACCCATTAAAATGTTAATGTGTTTTTTCGTCTGAATGCCATCCCAGCCAATCAGCATCCGTAGCGTCACTCTTGCGAGGTGAACACAAAAAGAGGTTTGCAATAAGAATTCGTGTAGCTCTAACGGATAACGCATTTGTGCCAATTAAAGTGTCCCCTGTCATATCGAATCGATCTGTTGACTATACAATAGCTACAATTCCCACTCACAATTGAATACCCACGTTGGATTCTAGGGCACGTCGTTTTGATTTGTGAGCTGCACAACCATTACCATTATCCATTTTACTGTCCTCTCCGCACTCACATCTTCGCCAAGCATCACCATGCCAGCGTCTCGTCTCGCCAAGACCATGTCCGAGAAGAAAGAAGTCGTTACCTGGATCGAGCAACACGGCGAAGCCCCGGCAAGAGCTGCCACGTTCTTTCAGAACGAACGCGGGTGGAAAATCTCGGCTGCACAAGTCTGCTATTGGTGGAAGCAGAGGGATGCCATTAAAAAGACCCCGGTCTCCAACCTCCGTCTCAAGGGCGCTGGAGCAAGCCGCGCTTAGCCGAGATAGAGGACATGATCTTCGATCAAGTTTTCTTTCTCAGATCGGAAAAGAAAAAGGTATCGCGATCCTTCGTTGCCGAGATGGGCAAGCAGCTCGCTCGCTCGGAACAGCACGACGACTCCTTTGTCGGCTCGAACAAGTGGGTTGACGGCTTTATGCAGCGCTACAATCTATCCCTGCGTCGGACGACCAACCTCACGACGCTCACTGACGATGTGCTAACCGACCGGGCCGTGCGCTACATGGAATATATGTCGCCACGGGTTGATGCGTTAAGTCTAGACCACACTGTCCTGATGGACGAAACCGCGGTGTATTTTGAAGATCCGCGCCGCCAGACCATCGACGCCACCGGTGCCCGTCATGTGGTGCTGAAGTCCACTGGCTTTGCTTCAATGCGGGTGACTGCAGTCCTTGCTGTGTCTGCGTCGAGTCGCAAGCTACCGCCACTTGTCGTGTGGAAAGGTGCTCGTCAAGATGGTGCAATTGACAGGATTGGAAACACGTATGTCACGTATCAAAAACGAGCATGGGTTAACTCACAGTTGCTGATCAAGCGGCTTGATGTTGCTTTTCCACCAGTTCTGGATGCAGCTACACCAGGGAAAGCCATCGTGTAGGATTCGATGCGCGCCCACGTGTCGAAGGCTGTGAAGGCTCAGTTTGCTAAGAAAAGGATTGAGATGTTTGTTATTCCCGGTGGGTTGACGCCGTACGTTCAAGCCGGAGACATCGGGATTTACAAATCTTTCAAGGATAAACTTTCTGGCATCATCGACGATTGGAAGTCGTCTGACCGCGTCGTGTACACGAAGGGCGGGAACCCCAAGCAACCTCCAGTGGAAGATGTGGCGCAGTGGGTGCAGACCGCCTGGAAAGATGTACCAGACGACGTCGTTTCCCGCTCTGTCGTAGCGGTCGGATTCTCTCGGTGCTATCAAGACTGGCATATTAACCGCCACGACGTGTACGGTGAGCTGTTTTGCCGCAAGTGGCTGTCTCGTGGCGATGATTCCGAAGCCGACGACGTTGAGGAAGAGCTGCTCGAAAACCTGGATGAGTTTACGATTTGGGATTCAGAAGCATCTGCCTAAGCAGGCTCAGTAGTGTGCTACCTCCATTTTGTATACCCTGCTGCCCCTGGGGCGTC